TCTTGAATTCTCTGGCTGACTGGAATGCTTAGTTGTTCAGGACTATCTTTTCTTGTAGGTACATATGGCTCCCACCATGCAACTCCTTTCTCTGTTGCTGCTGCAGTAATTCACATAGTGTGTGCTTGGGTGGGCTAGGGGAGGGAAAACAAGTTATAGGTTTGTGTGTGTTTTGTGCTGTAGAAGCAAATGCATTTCTGAATATCTGCCCGTGATTTTTTCTCAGTGCTTTCATGTGTGAGAAGGACAGATAAATGGGAAACTAAGAATGAAAGTGGGAAGGTAAAAGCAGGCACTTACCTGTGCAGGTGAGCACGTACACAGCATTTATATCCGTAAACCGCCTGTCTGTGAGGCACCACATGCGTGCGCGGGTGTATGTTCTGTTGTACAGCAGCATCCAGGTGTAAGCCTGATTATCTTCCCACACATCTTTTAACGTGTGTGTAATAAGCTGTACATACAGCTGACGTAGGTGTGTCTGGACTTTTACCCTTTTAAGCACATACGGAGTCCTCAGTCCTCCCCATGAAAAAAAATCTACTCAAAAACTGACTTTATCTCTGTCTTCAGTTTATTTTGGTTGAAATCAGAGCTCTGAAGAGGAAAAATGTAGCAGGGAGCATATATTTTCCTGCCCACTGCATGTCTGGACAACATAGCTGAATGTATAGGCTTTGTATGCCTGGAGCTGGTGGGTGAGTTATTCAGGCCAGGACAGAAAGCCTGCCTGTGTCTTACTCAGTACATCATTCCTGGCTCGCTTTTTCCACAAAGAGTCACCTAAATCTTTAAAGAACAGAGGCAGCTTGTTGGAGTGGAGGACAGAAATTCTGTAGCTCTGCTAGCCCATTTTTTTGGTATCTCTTGAATCTTTCTGAGATTAAGGATGTGGTTCCAGGCACGCTGGAGTTTTTTTTCTCCTTTGAAACCAAACAAAAAGGTCTAGCTACAGATAAGGGTATGACAAGGAAAGTTAACCCTTAGGTTGCTAGCAAGCTTTTGACTTTATTTCCAGCCTAATTCTGTCTGGAGTGTGACTGGATGGCACTGGCTCCCCTTCTTCTGAATGAAGAAAAAGGCTTTAATGTCTTCCAGCGGGATCATCAAATGGAGTGAAGCGCTGCCAAGTTCAGTCTGAGCTGCAGGCCCCGGTGATTAAAAACAGGCCTGTGCCTCGAGGAACCGGCGGATGAGGCTCTGTGTGACTGGCTCCACATTAGCTTTTCCTTGCAAGGCAATGCAGTCCCTGTCCAACCCAGAGACGCTCTCATAACCTGGTAGCTTCAGGGACATTTTAGTACATAGTTTGACAAGGTCTTCTGAGACCTGACTGAGGTGAGATGAACACTATAGGGCTAGCAGGACATCCCTTCCTCAGTTTGCCCTGTTTAACCCTGGGAGACTGAAGTAGGCACATCTGCTATGTCTGGTACCAGTGTGGCTGTGAGAGCCCTGGTGGTAATTCTCCTGAGGGCAGGCTTCATCAAGGTCCCCCAGCAGATGCCCACATGAAAGATTTCTGCAAGCCTGGAACTGTCAGCATCTCCAGCTTGCCTTTGACAGTCCTTTTCCAGCCCCACTCCAGAGATAGCTCTTAGCTTCCTCTTTTTATGAACCTTGGCACCACTTTCCTTTTCTATGATATGGACAAGTTCTGCAGCCTCTGTACTGATGAACAATTTCTCCACAGCCAACTTTCCAGTCCCACTCTAACTGCAGCTCTGTGCCTTTTCTCTCTGAACACCAACCATAGTGCTCTTACTGCCAAAAGACTCAGCCTGAGAGCAGTCTTTCTTCTGAGCAGTATCTCTGGTGGCCCTTGTCTATGGCTCAGCAAAAAAAAAGTAGGATAAAGAAAAAACAGAGATGCAGTGTAACTGGAAAAATATAACAGAGGGAAAGTTGCAGTTAGCAATAAACTTAGCTTGGGTGAAATATTTTTTCTTGTGCTTCCCCAGAAAAATTAGGATTCAGGCTCAAGGTAAAGAGAAAGGCATTGATGTGCAGTTGGGATTGGGCTGGAGTGGGACTGCCAAACCAAGGTGGGAGGCACCTAAGAGAGCTGGACTGGGAGAAGTCTTTAAGCCTGGCAATGGCTTCAGGGTTGTCTTCTCTACAAAAAATGACCTGTGCGGATTGTGTGAACTCACTTGCACAGCCCTTCAGCGCACACTGTCACACAAAAAGAAACCCACACTTGGGCCAATTTGTTTCACTCATCATGTGATAGGTAGGTCAGCTGCATCCTCAGTCATGTCAGTTTTGGTCTCGTGCCTCATTTTTTTTGTTACCTATTTGAAATGGTCTGGAGGGAGGTGGAGCAGTATTGAAGTGTGAGAATATTTCAGTGCCTTTGATTCCTCCAAGATCTTTGTTTTCATCCAGGAGAAAAAGGTGTTACTGACCTCCATGTGTGAGAAGGAGGAAAGACTGTGTCCCCAACATCTGGCTCTGCAGCAGACAGTAATGGTGATGCTGTGCTTATGAAGGGTCCATCTGCTGCTCTATCTGACTCTCAAAGCAGGTCACCCTTCTATCTTTGCTATTTTAGCATCACATTCATTGATCTCTGACTGTAGTCCACTTGTTAACCAGAAGTCACTCACAGGTTGATTGTTTCTACAGAAAGCTACAGCTGTTGTGGTCCAAGTTGACTGTGAAGGCAAGGACTGATGTTGCCTGAAATGTATTAGAGCTTGTTTCTGACCACAGACCAGCCAAGGCTCGGGAAAAGTAGACAAAGCCTCAGTGGAGATTATGCGTGCAGTTGTTCTGTGTGTGTTTGCTTATGTGTGTGTCTGACACTGCCTTTGTCCTTGATCTAAGTCTAGAACACAAGAACATGAGCTTTTAGAAAAACATTATATATATTTTATGCCTGGGGAAAGCAGAGCATTTACTTCTTTCCCAGACTCTTCTCTAAAGAGACCCATTAGGAAACAGGGCTGTGATTCAACAAGTAGAGATCTAAGAAAATAGGGCTACTATTGCCCTGCTGCTATTTGCCACAGCCTGACCTCCCTGAACCTGTATGTCTTGCATTTAGAAGACTGAACATCTATCATGTTAAGGAAATAGATATAACCCGTCATGAGAACAAGGATTACATGATGAGATTACCAAGCAACCCGTGCAAAAGCAAGAAGAGGTTCCCTGTCCTAAAACGTGACTTCAGAGACACCCAAGTCAGTGAAAATTCAAACAGATAAGAAATGAGAACTAATAAAACCTTTACTCTGCAGTAAATCCAGTACACACAGGGATAAAGATAAGTCACTCCCATGCTCCAGGGCATGCCCTCCTGCCAGGATGAGGGAATTTCCTTTGAGACTTTTCATGGCCCTCCAGCTTTGATACTGTAATGCAGTTGTGTAGGCTGTGGTGTAAGGAAGGTTTCTGTCTTCTAATGTATAACAAACAGGCAGGGAAAGGAAATTGGACTACAGGATCCTTCTCGCAGCTTTCATTCAGGGAATTGAAACTGATAACAAAAAGTTTGTTTCACTGAGGATTCAGCAGGGTTGGACTGAAAATAGAAACCAGGTATGGTTTGACATGGTATCTCCTATGAAGAACAGTGAACAGTCATTAGGAAGCTTCCTGCCAGGAGTTATCAGCCTCCCATGAATATAATACTGAAGTAAAAATGGAACATGTGGTCACTAGTGGGAAGATAAGTAGAGCCTTAAGAAATGACCAAATTCCCTGGCCTGGTATAAGCACATAAGTGCAACCATTAAGGCTATTGGTGGTGAAACAGTGTAACTCCAATATTGCATGCTGCCGGTTTTTTTAGAGCTGCAGGTTTGGCTGCTGAATGAAGGATCTAAAGATCCTGGATATCTATAGAAAACTTCCTGTTGCTTTGAGAAATCTTTAAATAGAATTTCCTATCTACTATGGTCTGGTGTCATCTGAAATTCAGTAAATTCTGGGATTCCCTCACTTACTGGATTTTTATTATCAAAACATGATGAACTTGGATGCTGTCCTCCATGACTCCACCACACACTGTAGGGTGTTACAATTAGAATTTCAGAACCCAACTCAGTAACTGTCCTTCTTCGTGGAGCAGTTTCCTAGTGGCAGGAATTGAACCATGACCTCTGGCTTTTACTGCCTGAGCCCCTTGTTGTCGAAAGATCTGGTGCCAGTGGTAGCATTCAGCAGCTGGTATTGGCAAGGAACTTCATGTTCCCTAAAGAAAGAGACAGTCCTTTGTACTTGATGATATGTGTAGATCTGACTTATAAATTAGCCTAGGCCAGTCTGGTTTTAGGGTATCTGATGCTTTTGATATTTTCAAAGTGCAAGAAGTACAGCACACGCTTTTTAGTAGAAAGGGCAATGGATTTTGCATGCATTTTACTGGGGGTTTTTGTTTGGGGTTTGTTTTTTTTTCATTCAGCAAGTTGAATTAAAGGAAAAAAATAGAAAGGGTCTCCCAGGATGGTGGGGGATTCTCACAACAGCCAGTTCTAATGTTGACAGCTGTACTCTGCGGTGTTAGCAATCCCTTCCTAGTGGGATTGCTGCCTGTTGGGCTGGCTAGCTGCAAACTACTGGAGGACAGTTGTGTGACAGCCTAAGAGGTGGGTGCATGCAGGAAGGAAATGTGTCCCATAAAATCAGTGTAGCCTTTGTTTTGCTCTTCTTGGGACAGAAGATGCAATGAAAGTATAATTACTTAATTCAAGCTCATCAGAGATGTGCATTACCATAAGCATGATCTTAAACCCACCTTCCTTGTGTATGAGATATGAACTAGTTTAGGGCAGAGGATAGTTTGAAGCACTCTTAAGCAGAAGAAAAAGAAGTCATTCATCATATAATTCTTGTTTTTAAAAGTAATTTTATTCTTCAGAGTCTGTTAGAAACTGGGCCTTCACAGAGCCTCCCCCCTCCATGTGGAAGTTTTCCCCCTTGTATGCCCTGAGCAGTAGCTCAAGAGGAGTTTAAGCTGACACCCAGATGTCTTTCTTGCTCTCTGCTGTCAGGGATCTTTGGACAGCGGTTGGAGGACACCGTACAGTACGAGAGGAAGTATGGCCAGCGCTTGGCCCCACTGCTGGTGGAACAGTGTGTGGATTTTATTCGGGAGCGAGGTCTTACAGAGGAGGGGCTCTTTCGGATGCCTGGACAAGCCAACCTTGTCAAAGATCTACAGGATTCTTTTGATTGTGGAGAGAAACCCCTTTTTGACAGGTGAGTTGACATCACCAAATTCAGGCTAGTGTGTCTCTGACATGTAAAATCTGCCAGGAATGTCCTTGCAGTGGCTATTCTGGCTTACATGTTCTTTCCACACCATCATTCTCTTTATTTAAAGTGCTGATGGAGCTTTCTCCTGCATGGTGTTGAGTGTGGAGGCCTTAGCTCAGTGCTTGAGCAAAGGGAAAAATGGGCTCATTAATCTATATGGAGCTACTCTAGTGTTTCAGCTTAAGCTTATGTTGAATGAAAAGCATTGCTAGATTTGGGTGCAGCATACTGAGCAGTTGGTGGGATCCCATCATAGAAGGGGGTATGACAGGGTTGAACTAGATATTTCATTGCTTTCAGATGTTGCATTCTCCCTTGTCACAAACAGCAGATCTGCCTGGGGCAAAAGCTCAACTCTTCCTTTGTCACCAGGTTTCAGAATAGTCACCACCATCTCACACATCATCCCTGTTATACTAGAGGCTGTTATGCTCAGCTTAGTATCAGTTCCCATGGTAAGAGCATCAGCCCTGTCTCTGAGTGCTCCATCCAAGGGCAGTGAGGGAAGGGGCAGCTCTCAGCTCTGCTGTCTCTATGTTGGCCCTGAGCCCAGGCAGTCAAATAATCAGAAAGGTGAATGCTCTTAGGGCCCTTCCAGTCAAATCCTGTCCATACCCTGTAACTAACATTTCCTCTACTGTGTCACGTGTACATGCTGCCCAGAGTGGAGGTCAGCATTGTGCTAACCTTAATTATGCTCTGTGAAATAGGGCTGGACCCTAACAGAGACCTTGAACTTCAGGGATATTTGGATCCAAGGCCATTTTGCAGATCTGGCCTGATCCCTATCACAGGTCCATAAGTGAGATCGGATCTGGGATCTTGTCTTGGAGAACTGGCATGATTTCTTGCTGGAACTCACTAGCACCATTTTTCCAGGTGATGCAGGTGGCATCTGGTATATTACCAGCACATTAACCTTAGGGGATCACTTCCTTTGGACCTGCAACCAGTCTCAACATTGCCAATAACTTCCCTGCCTGCTGCTCCAGGAAGAGCTAGAACTCTCCTGCGTGGGCAGAAACAGTATTTGGTCTCATCTTGGGAAGAATATCTTTGGAGTTTATTTGGAACATTCTTCTAATTCTTCCCTTCCCTCAGCTTCCCAGACCACCCATCCTCCTTTCTTTGATTCTTAACCACAGACAGTATTTGCTCCCTAAATGAATGTGTCAAACATTGAGAAATATTTTCATGAAAAAATAAGTTTGAAATCATTAAATTGTTTCACTTAATCTTTTCTTAAAAAAAAAAACCCTTTGTATTTTTAACTGAATATCTGGGTGTTCTAGTTCAGAATTAGAATTACCTTAATTGAATGCTTATACTATGGAATAGGAGTATCCATGGAAGGAGTTAATTAGGAATGACAGTTTCCATTTCTTGTTTTACTTTACTGTGATCTGTACTAAATTCATTGCTACAAAGATAAGCCAAGCCTCCACCCAGCATTTTTAAAGCAGAATAGACTCATAGAATCCTTTGGGTTGGAAAGAACCCTAAAGACGATCTTGTTTCAAACCCCTGCCATGAGCAGGGACACCTTTCACTAAACCAGGGTGCTCAGAGCCCATTCAACTTGGCTTTGAACACTTCCAGGGATAAGACATGCACAGCTTCTCTGGGCAACCTATTTTAGTGCCTCACCGCCCTCAGGTGCAGAAAGCACCTTTATTTCCATAGGCATTTGCAGTGGCTCTAAATAGATCAGTGCTAAGTCTCCCTTTAACTAGAGATCTCCAGAAAGGAATGCCTACCTTTCAGGTAGTTGATGTGTGATGTGATAACTGAAGGTTCAGTACAGAATTAAAGGAAGCAAGCCTGGAGTACCTGACTGGTATGATAGTTGAGGGTCTCCCAGTTATTGCCTTTTGCTTTTTCCACCGTGTCTACTGCAACTTGCAGGCCCAGCTCTCTGGTCTTATATATATATAGTCTATCTTATGTATATGTGTAATCAGAGACAGCAGCAAGGGAGAGGCAATTACATTCTGGCTAAGTGAAATGTTCCTCCTCCTAGCTGTGTAGTGTAACTACAACCATCCAGGTATGGTCTGAGAAACTTAGGCAACAGAAGTGTGAAATCCTTACGCTTCGTTCCAAAACACGTGTAGTGAAGGGAATATCCTTTCTTATTTCCTCATTGCAGTTAGCACTTGTAGGTGATCTTCCAGACACTTAGGGCCTCCCTGCCCCATGGTGGTTCAGATCTCTGTGATGACTGATAATTAAAATATTTATTTTTAAAAGGCCTGCTTTTCCAATTTAGGTTTTTAATGCACATGCATGTTCTTATGAAAGGCCAGGTGTTGCTGTTTTGGAAGCAACTACAGCAGTCTACTCCTATTGCACTTTCATGCCACTGCAGGTTTGGCTGGATTTCACATGGCATCATGGATGAAACAGTTACTGCAGCCAGCAGCCCTCAAGCTGTAGTCTGGGCTCTGCTGCTCAGTGATAGTCATATCCACCATCCGTGCCTGGAAGTCTACACTAAAGAAAAAAAAAAAAGAATAACAAATAACGGTACTGATCTCATTTGTGTAACGTTTATAATCAACTGAAGAAAGCCACTGTGTGAAACTGTGGTATTCTCAAATATGGTGGAGTTGTTTAATACGAATAGCTTTAGCAGGATGAGTAGCAAGTGGTAGCTGCTGACAGCTTCCTGTTGTAATTTTTCCAGTTTTGTTTTAGCCGTGTGTTCCTAAAATGCTTAAAAGCATACCAAGTAGAAGAGATTCAGATTCTGGATAGAAGAGAGATTTGAAGTTCCCTTGCCCAATGTTTATGATGTGTTCTCTTCTCTAAAGGCTGCCAGAATAATGGTGGGTAGGGAGGAGCTGGTGACAAAATATGTTTAGACTTCTACAGTGAAAAGGAGGTCATCTGCAATGATTAACAAAGTTGCAAAACAGGAAACTTGAAATGAGGGAGAGGTATTGCCATACACCAAAAGCTGGATAGCTGGAAAGGGAAGAACAGGTGCATCTTCATCTTGGTATCTAACACCTCAACCTCAGCTTAAATCAAAAGAAAGAAAAGAGGAAAATGAAGTTCTGAGATTGGGAAAGAAAATAAAAGCTGATAGCCTGTCATAACAGATGCACGAGGAAAGGCCAAATACCCCAGTCTGGGGGAGAGGATGTGACCTGTAAGCCGGGCAGCCATGCCAAATGGCAGTAGAGTTTCCTCCATTTTTGTTCCAAATGATTGACCCAGGACACCTGGGAGCCTGACCCATCACATGTATGTGTGTGCTGGCTCTGGGGAGTATCAGGAAGGATCAGTGGGAGGCTCAGAGGTTACATTTCATGGGATCAGGAGCAGAGCTCTATTACCAATGCTGTGTGATCACTGCACACTTGCCTGGACTGTATTGCTCGCATTCCTGATCCACATTGGCTGAGGAACCACAATGCCTCCCTACCTTAAGCAGTATCGTGGGCATATCCCTTCCACTGCCTGTGTTGCCTCAGGTGCATTTATATCTTGCCAAAATGGGAGATTTCCCTTGTTTCCAGGTAGACCCTCCTGTCTAGTACAAAAGTGTGGCAGAAGAGCTTCCTTCCATGTGCCTACTTTGTCCCTGTCCCTAAGAGCGACCTTGATGCACCCAAGTGAAAGGCACCAAGCTTTGAAATAGTGTGGGTTTTTAAATTTCCTTCCCTCTTCTCTGTTGCAGCAACACAGATGTTCACACTGTGGCGTCCCTCCTGAAGCTTTACCTTCGAGAGCTGCCAGAGCCTGTCATCCCCTTTGCCAAATATGAAGACTTTCTTTCTTGTGGACAGCTACTCTCAAAAGATGAGGGAGAGGTCAGTGATTCTTCCAATCTGCCTCCTTCTACATCAGAGGTTGTTCCCCAGACTCAGCGTAGTACAGGTTTTTCTCTCATCGTTCCTTGATCTTGATTTAAATCAATGAAGTCCCTGAGAACCTTCCTCTGAATTTTCTCGAGGCTGTGAATTGGGTACTATTATCACAGGCTACTGCTTGAAGCAGTTTTTTGAAGTCAGTCTTGTACCTGGTGCTTCTTCCTTCTAAGCAAAGCTGTTCTGTAGCATAATCAGCAAGAGATGCAAGGTAGAAAGGAGGTCTGGGTTCCTTTCCCAGCCTTTTTGTTGACTCTAGTAGCCTGTATGAAGTCCCTCCCTTATCCTGTGTTTTGCATTTTGTATATCAGAACAACACATTCTACTTTCCAGAGTTTTTGGTGCATAAGACAGTGATCAGTGCAATGGCCTTTGTATTTCTTAGAGGAAAAACACTACAAAAGACCAGGCTATGCAATTATCCCAAAATGGGGGGAAATAGTGCTATGAATACTTTGTCAGAACCTTCTTATGATATTCTTCTCTTTGGTTTCAAGGCAAGGGAAGGGGCTGACAAAAATCCTGAGGTCTGTAGCAGTCATGGAAATTTTGATTCACTGCTTGAGGAACAGGATAATTTACAATGTGATTGATTGATCTGCTTCATCCATATTGTTCTTCTTGTGTTGATACCTTAGTCCTTTGCTAACTGCAGAGGCATGTTGGATCTGGTCTGATGCGGTGGAACTGTGCCACCTTCCAAAACAACAATTTAAAGAAGCTGTAAGAGCTGTTACTGGTGTCTTTACTTTGCTAAAGAGGCAAAGGCCCAAGGGCTTGTAAGCTGCAGTCCACAGTTCTGTTTTCTGTGTGTGGTCTCAAGAGTGTGCTCATCTTTGTCTTTGGTGGGATTCTGTTCTTCACTGCAAGCCTGGAGTTCACCTTCAGTTCAAGTGGCAGAAGGTTCTGGGGAGATTGTCCTTCTTGATGCCCATACAAAGATGCTTGTTTGCATGTTTCAAATGTAGTGTATGTGACAATATAAGATTTTATGGTTAAAAGGCAAGTTTACTCTATACACTCAAATGATGCAACCTCTAATCTGCTGCAAGAAAGCAAATTTCTGTGCATGGCACCGTATATTACCACAGATGAATATGCATTTGCATCCCGGACACAGCCACATCAGTGTGTCACTGCACTAGTGCTGTCTTTTAATAGGTAAAGGTATGTGTCTACTAGCTCCAAAACTTGTTGATTTTCTGCCTTACCCTCAGTGAACTCAGGCATCTCTGCAGGGTACTGTATTACAGACCGCACAGCGGTTATTTCACAAGAAACAGCAGTACTTCTGAGGCAGTGGAGCTGGTTTCATTTTGGTCATAGGATGTGCAGACTGAGAAGTTTTGGATCCATTAAGCACTATTGCACAAGAGTAGAGACACTGCCAAATTGGGCAAACATAATTGTATATCACCGCTCAGCTTATTAACTACGTTGTTTGCCTGATTTTGCCTGCACAGGCTGCAGCAGATTGGGAAGCAACATCTGTGTTGCTTCTGTGGGAGCAAGGTCAGACTAAAATGACTTGTAGTGCAGAATTCTATTTGGATGAGAAAGGTGATGGGGAGCACTAGATAGCCAAAATGAAAGCTTACAAAATACAGCACCAGTCCTAGCACAGAGTTGTTTTGTTAAGCTGCTGTTGTAAACATAAGTAATTTTTTTTCTGTCAAGAAAATCTGGAACCTTAACAAGGGCTGTTTACTTTTTCAGAAAGGAAGGTGGAGTGCCCACACCAAGGGTGGAGATGCTGTACGTGCACAACAGCATGTGGGGCAGAATGTAGCACAAAGTCATACCTAGCCTGTGGGGCCTGACTTGCCGCCTCCCACATGGAAAATCCCCCTGCCTAGAAACTGTGGTTTCATTGAAACCATAATTTGTAACACATAATGATAAGCAGGGAATTTAGAAATCAAAACATTTTATTTTGTAGAGGTATTTTGAAATAAAATGTAATCTTATTGGTTTAGTTTGAAGTACTATTTTGTTTTCATTTTTTACTTGGAACTTGAAATATCAGTTTCTTTAATTTTGCACACCCACTCTCCCCCCCTCACCCAATACAGCCAGAATTGCTCAAGGCAAATTAACCATTCGAATAAAACTTTTGGCACCTCATGCTGCTACATTGTGATTGTGGATAGAAATTACTATGATTTTAGCTTGGCCTAACTCCAGCACTGCGCTAAGCTTTCCATTTTTCATTCAAATTGCTTTTCATCTCTTCATTCTGCATCCAACTCGTCTCTGGTGTTCAAATGCAAACAGAAACGTAACAGAGACTTTAGATTGTGCTGAGGTCTCCAGGTATCTCAGCAGGACTGCAGTATTAAAAAAGATTTTATTCTGATCCTGATTGATTTGGAGGAGGGATCAAAAATTAAAAACAATTTTAGAGAAAGAGAGATCTTCAAATTTTTAAAAACTCATTTGAGTCTGAGCTGACTTGGCATGGTAGTATTTAGCCTTCACTGCTACCTGTACTCTAGAGATGCACAGCAGTTCAGTGGATTGAACACATGGCTTTGAGGTTTTAAAGAGAGATCTGAATTTGGATGAGCATCTAAGTGTTGCTAGTTTTCCAGCCAAACTAGAAGCTCCAAATTGGTGCTGATCTGTTACACACATTGCAAAACCACTGGGTTTGGGATAATTCATTGGAAAGCAGCATTTTCAAGGAGGTAAGAGTTATCACTGCAAAATCCCAGGATGAATAAAAGTGCAGTGCTTCTGTTGCTTGCTGGGCTGCAGCCATAATTAGTGCTGTTTGTTAATTCAGCAGTTTCCAGCTTGTGTTTTCCTTTATGCTTTCGCTGTGATGTTACCAGGCTCAGCCTTCTGCCCTCTGCAGTTCAAGTGGTTGGTGGGTACAAATCTGTGGCACAGCTTATAAATGCTGCAGTAGGAGAGGAAGCTTTTTTTAACCTTGCAAGTGTTTCTACCTTGATGAATATGAAGATACTTTCTGTGTAATACTACGTTTGAGATTCCTTGTGACAGAGCATGGATGATAAATTTTTAGAACTTTTTCTTCTTTCAGGTAGCATATTGTACCTTTAGGTCATATTCCCTGCTGCTCAAAGCTGCCTACAGTTTTCTGTTCTAAAGCCTCCTCTTGCATCCAGTGGAGCTGTGGTATTTTAATTCAGAGCACTTGAAATACAGTGCCAAATACCATCTTGATTTCCTTATTTGAAATAAATTGGGTTACAGAGCAAAATTCAAGAGGGAATTAGGTCTGGTAGCTCACCTATTTCTAGTTCAAACTTGTCACTTGAAAAGTTGGTTGACCTGAAAAACTGACCTGAACCTTCACATCAGTAGCAGCTGTTCCTGATTCAAAAATTTTCAGAAGTTAAAAAAGAGGATTGTGATTTTCAAACGTGCTTGGCCTTTTATTGATGTCTCCATTGTTGTCCCTGTTAAAACAGCATGGTGTTTAAGCTCAGGAATTAAAAAAGGCCTGCTGCTTTTAAGAATTGTGGTTTAGGTTTTTACAAGAGAACTTTTTTTTTCTTTTCTGGGATGTACTGAATAAGGAAGTATCTATACATTTAGGACATTAAGGAGAAAGGCAGGAATAGAGACTGCTCTCTGGATCTTTCTGACTTATCTGGACCAGAGAAATCAGGAAGATCTTGCAAGAGTCTGGTCAACAGAATTCCCTCCCTAACAGTCCTTAATAAATGGAGGACAATTTGAAATGAATGTCCAACTGCACTTCTTTGGCTCAGAACCAGTTGCTTCTGGAATGTCTCCATCATTAGTTTGCAGCCCTCCATCATTCATTAGCAGCTATCACTCTTCATAAATGTGCTTCAGTATCTATTTTTCTACAAAAGGTATAGTTGTCCCCAAAATTAAGCAAATATCCAGGGCAACTGCAGCATTGACAGGAAGAAGCAAATGATACTTGGGATCGTAGCAGGACAATAGCCTTCTGAGTCAAAGGTTTTCATTATATGATTTAAGCAGCTTCAGAGTTTTAAGTCATTCATCCAGCTGATGTCTCATCTTACGTTTTAATGTGAAGACAGAAATTTTTTGAGGAAACATGTCCCAGGTCAGAATAACTGCAAATGGAAGTATGTAATTAAAAAAGGGGTAGTTGGAGTGTCATTTAGCTTTTTTAAGAAAAACTCTCCTCTGCTCAGTTGAGCATTATTGTGATGTATTTATACTGCACTCAATGCCTCAAAGTTTCAAATAGGCCACGTCCTGCAAAGGCACATCTGCTGGTACATTGCCACTGATGCCAGTGGGCAGGCTTTGAAGGCTGGCAGGCCTCACTAATTGAAGGCTCCTACATCAACCATTAAAGTTGACTGGAGGATTTCCACTGAGAACCGAATCAAGTTCCAGACATTGTTTTTTTTGGTAAGGCACAATGCAATAGATGACACCTCTTTTAAAACAAAGCGTCCTTGTGTTTTCATCTGTTGTGCAGCATTTGGCTATGGAAAGAGGATTTTACAATACTGAAGGAAAGTCACGTCTGCTTTGCAGCATTTACATTAATATCTCTCCTTCTTGTTTTTCCTGTCCCTCAGGGTACCCAGGAACTGGTTAAACAGGTGAAGAATTTGCCCCAAGCCAACTACAATCTCCTCAAATACATATGCAAGTAAGTGAAATTAATTAACACTTGGAAAAGTCTCTAAGTTTTGTGAGGCTGTCTTACATGCAAATAATATACTCTGAATGTATGAATATTCAGACATCACTAACATGTAAGTTACTACTCCTATAAAACATTCAGAGGTGAACGAACGGCCTGCCTGAAGGAAGCTCTTGGTTTATCCAAGAGCATCAGCCAAGCAAATTGCTGTCACCCGCAGCCTTGGCAGCAGACATGAATGATACCAACATATTATATTGTTTATTTCAGAAGCACTTACAGACCACTAAAGAAAGACATTATTTCTATGTACTGCACACTTGGGAGATTTATGACACAAACTGAGTAGCAGATGCAGTCAGAATAGCCAGTCTGGCATCTGCTCTGATTTGGAAGTGGGGTTAAAGTGGCTTCCTCTTGATTTCCAGGGACTCCACAGCCTTGTCTCCCCTCATCTCTGTGCTGATTCTCCCAGTTTTTGGGCTGCCTCTTTATCTGGAAGTTGGAATGAGATGATCTTTAAAGGTCCCTCCCAACCCAAACCGTTCTATGATTCTGTGATGTGTATTTCGTTAGATTCAAGCCCAGCCACAAAGCTCTTTTCACAGGCTGCTAGTTCTAGGACAAGGAGATGAGTGAAATGTCTTTTTAATTCTATCTGTAAGTGAAAACTAACCGAAGTCAATCTGTGTAATTGGAGAATTCCTATAAAAATGTGAAAAGCTGTCCTTTCAGACCTAGTAGAAGGCTGGATCCCTGCTAGATGGGTGCTACTGACAGAAACCATCCTGTCTTCTGTAGTTCATACACTAAAAGGTATCTGGGGTAATTACTGAGTATTTAGGCTGCATTAGTCCCTAGCATCATTTCAGGTGTCAGGGTTGTAGGAAAGTAAGATGAAACTGTCCCTGCCCCAGAATGCCTACAGTCTGAGAAGTGACTTACTTATTATTCCCCTTCTCCTTTGATTTATTTTGGGGGCTTTTCAAGGTTCCTCGATGAAGTTCAGGCTCACTCTAGCATTAACAAGATGAGTGTCCAGAACCTGGCTACAGTATTTGGACCAAACATATTACGTCCTAAAATGGAAGATCCGGTGACCATGATGGAAGGTAGGTACTGCTCTTGTGAGAAACCATAACAGCTGTGCTTTGGGGCTGTAGGTCATACATTTGTTGGTAGCTGATCAGTAGCTTCACAATCAGAACAAGTCCATCAGTGAAGGGGGTGTATTGGTTGGCCTCTCTCACCCCATTCACTCGTGGTCTGAGAGTGTCTCTCCACTATGTGGAGATGCCTCTGCCACCTGGAAACTCTTTTTGAACCTACTGCTAAAATGAAAGCTCACATTTTTCACAAAGACCATGCTTAAGTACCAAACTGCTATCATAGCAGTGATGCATTTCAGTGGTTATACAGCAACCTGTAGAGAGCATCCAGGCCACAAAGAGAGGACTGTAATTTTCGTTGTGCCACAGTGGCTATAACTAGGTGTCTTAGAAGTGTAGTTTTCTAAGTCAACTGTATATGGTTCAAAACTTCACAGAATCCAAGAAATAAGTTGAAAATCACTGTTGATTTCTGATGTAAAAATCTGAAACTTTAAAATCATCTGCTTCCATGGGTCAAGCAGGCTGACACTAGGGCTGAGAAGCAGCTCCTCTCCCAGATGGCACTGGAACACAAAACTACTGTAGTGCAAGCTTTAGTAGGGTCTTTGCATTGAGTTCTGTGGGATCTTGGCAAGCCTGCACAGATGTGCAGCAGCAGGCACAGATGGAGATGCTGTGCCCAGGATGTTTGAACTTGGCTCTGGTGCTGCTCCTGAGCTGTAGGGGACAGCTGATGAGGTGTTCTGCGTGACAAAAATCCTTCATAGAACACCAGTATTGACATGCTGTAGCAGCAGCAGTGCCTTTAGCTCTGCACAGGTGATGTGCAGATGTTGCCCACAATGGCAACTTACTGTAAGGACAATTTCAGAGCATGATCTGACATATTCTAGTTGTTCAGGGATTCAAAGCCTACCACAGAGATGTGGGTCATGTTATTAAGGGTAGATTTGAGACCTTCTCCTCAAAGTGTGAAAGGTACAAAAGTGCAGAAGGGGAGGAGAAGTGAGTGTGGGAGCAGATGCAGATTATTCAGTGTTAGAGAGGTGGGGACAGCTGAAATCAGCCCGTGTGTGATGCTGTGACTTCCCCTAGTGGCCACTGGGCCAGTGCTGGTACAGCTCTCACAGCCTGAGCCAACAGCGTGCTCTTTGTTCAGCTGGCACAGGTGACATGTCTGGGTTCAGTTCACCTCAGGCATTTCATTATGCAGTTCATCTGATGGCAGAGGTGCTTGCACTGTGTGTAGGTGCACAGGCGCCACACATGCTGTGGTCTCCTGGCCTCTCCTAATTATCATATAAAAACACTACAGTGATCTGACCTGGAATTCTGTATTGCCATTGATCTGACCTGTATAAAAATTGGGATATGTAGACTGGATTTTTTGACTTAATTATTATACTAATAATATATACTAATAACAACAGCAATAGCAATGTTTTATTTAATTTTTAGTCGAGGATAGAAGGTTGATTAGATAGAAATAACAGAAAAGTGGAAAGACTCAATAATTTTTTTTCTAGCTTAGGGTAATTTCAATCTGCTAAATAAACTGAGAAAGTAAAATACTGCACCCAGATCTTAACAAAAGCACTCTAGTTGTATCACTCTTCAAATTTAAACCATGAATTTCAAATAGAAATACCTGAAGTTTGATAGCTAAATTGTTAGGAATGCCCTTATCTCCAAGACATTTATTTCTCTTCCTGTATTCACAGACATAAAATAGAAGTGGTAGGTAAGTTCAGTACCTCTTACTGTCAGGAGAAAATGTCATGATTAAAATCAGGCACTTGTCTTGAACCCCTGAGTATGTTGGTCTTATTCTCTATTTTAGGTAATACTTAAAGATAGAATGGCATACTCACTCTTTTAAAGGTTTTTCTCTTTTGTAGGAAGTGCTTTGTATTAGGTTTGGTAAGTGTGGTGTTCTCTATTAGTTCATAACAGTTAGCTCCACTACTGGAAAACAATGACAGCTCATTTCTGTGGATTTAAATAATTGCAAGTACTTTCTGCATTTGCTGTACACCTTCTGCAAGTGCAAGTATCATGCAGATTTCATACTTTCTGCAAGTTTCTCTATACACTGAGTGGAGCAGAAAGCCTGAGCTGAAATTTTTGGTTCTTCAATAAGCAGTAGCTCTGGGCCTGTTCAGTCTATAAAACTGAGTGCAACCTGGTTGTGGAAACCTGCTGTTTTTGGAAGCTGGACAGAGAGGTGCTTCATCCCAGCAAATACAGGTTAGCGTGTTCAGGATCTGGCATGCATCCCTGCACATGGCTGTGCTATCCTGCCTGGATGCAAACACTGAGATTGATGCTGGCTCTGAAGTCCATGCCTGGTGTGGTACAGACTTACCCTGTTTTCCAAGTGTCCTCCACCTCTGTCATCCTCCAAGGTCAGTTAAGCTTCCAGCCTCCTTAAGCAGGTCAGTTATTAATCATTGCTAATGATCACTTGTACTCTGCTAGTCAGCTACATTCATGGGCTGAACTGGGACCTGCATCCTTCACAGTCCCCTTTCCAGCAAAAGCAATTATTCCTGTTTCTTTGAAGTCCTGTATAGGAAGGCCCAGAGTAGCTCCTTGTGCAGACGCATTGAAATGCACGGCAGCCACAGGCCCCAAAGGAGCTCACGGGACATCCCACAGGCCGGGGTGACTCTCAGAGGACTTTTCACCTCTCCTCAACTGCTTGCCTTTGTTTTCCACCCACAGGCACCTCACTAGTTCAACACCTGATGACAGTGCTGATAAGTGAACAGGGGCGAATCTTTGCTGTTCCTCAGGGAGATGTGCCAGGGAGCCAGCTGGAAATCAGGCCCGTGCGGCAGCGCAGTACTGTGGAGTGGATCTCCGAGGAGGACGGGGAGGACAGCAGGTCAGAGAACAGTGCTCGCAGCCCTGCTGATTTGCCTTCTAGCAATGCTGTGGCACTAGAGGCCACCCCAGGACCTGCAGTGAAAAACACTCCTCCAGAGCACAGTGGCAAATTAACTCAGCCTGCCACCAGCCCCAGTAAAAGAGTGCAGACGCTGCCTCCATGGAAATACTCCTTCCGCCAGCAGGGAGCACGGTCTGTGAGTCCAAAGCTGGGCAGCTCATCCTTAGATATCCCCAACCTCTCCTCCAGCGGGAACTGGTTGATGAATGGACTGTACTCGCTCCGAGGCCACCGCCGGACAGCGTCTGGGGAGCGAGTTAAAGACTCATGTTCCTCCCAGCGACTCTCCACTTACGACAACGTCCCCTCGTCCAGCCTGTCCCTCAGCACACACAGCATGGCCAGCACTTCATGGTCAACATCGTCATGTGAGATCTCCGTGATGGACTCAGTCAGCAGCTGCCCAGCCTGCCGGGCCAGTGACTCTTCTGCTTTAAGCTCTCTCAAAACTGAGTGGATAACTCAGGGTTCGCTGTCTCAGAGTGAGGGCAAGACTGCGGACCTGGAAAACAGCATGGACAGGTTTGATGCATGCAGCAGCAGCAGTGAACAGAGTGACCCAACTGCAGCTTCCCGAGACTCTGTCCAATGCTCCAGGGCCTTACAGAGCTTGGTGGTGGAGCTAAAGACAGAACTGAGCAAACAGAGGACTGAGTATGAGACTAGTATCAAAAGGTAATGTCATCTGCAGGGGGGACAAGGAAGTTGTCTGCCAACATTAACCCTGTCTGAACATGAGCTCTGAAGGGTATCAGGATTTCAGACCTGAAGTTTGGTTTTAGGTGACAACAGATTTGGTCCTGCTCTTTCCTCACTGCTCTCTGAATCCAGCTTTTCGTTCTCTAAGAGGCCATTAAAAAAAAAAAAAAAAAAAAGGATTTCCATCATGCAGGGAAATCCAGTATTTCACATTCTGTGTTTTCAGTGGAAACGAGAACTGCACAGGTAATGCCAAAGTCTGCTCTGAGTGTCCTCAGAGAAACAGCAAATCTTGGAGGGAGGAACTGGGACCCAGCGTGATGAGGCCTCAACAAGGAACGCTGTTGGTCTGTGCAGGTGCTGGTATTTGTACCAAATCAGTCTGAAATTGAGAGCTTCTTGTTGCTTTTCCCAACAGAAACATTCTTGAGGAAACTGCTCTTGACTATTCCGCAGTGGATTTCTCATGGTCTTGGGACTGCACCTCAGCTACAACTTTTTCTGCAGCCCTTTTGTGTTAAACATCCAGAAACCTTGCTTTTGGTTTTTGGTGTAAAAAGTGGTCCTTGGCTCCTGTGGCAGCCCCTGGCTTGGAGTAGGAGTGAGCTGCAGCAGACAGCAAACTGTGTCATTATTTGCCCACTGCTGTTTCCTTGCACAACTGCTGGTGCTATACTTAAGATCTAAGCTCAGAAAAATGCCTCCAGTTTTCAGGAGAGCTGTGTGTGAGGGCAGGGGTGTTGCAGGAAGTAAGTAGAAAGTATTAAGAACTAGGAAGTCATTATTTATTCATTTGTGGGAGTTGGTATATTAGGTTTTATGAGTGTATGTGCTTAATAGAATGACTTTCAGGCAACCACTCAGCGAAATATTCACATGAAGCTGAATCCTTTAAGCAACAATATATGTTTTAATATGTATTAATATACAGCCATATGCAAAACTGCACACCAGCACTTTGCACTGAAGAAGGGCTATAATCCCATTTCTTACTAATAGTTGAGTTCTCAGGTTTGTTTGGGGTTTTTTTGTTTGTTTTTTTTTTTTTTGGTTGGTTGGTTTGTTTGGGGTTTTTTTTTGTGTTCAGGTGTTGATGTTATACCCCTTCAATTACTAAAACCCTGATAGCATTTCCAACCTCACTTTACAGTCATTCTCCCAAACCTGGTATCAAAAGCACATATGACTGTTGGGATAGTATAGTACAGCTTTAGGCTGCATTAGTTGCCACTTTTTTTCTTGTGTAAGTAATTTCTCAGAAGTGTATTTGAACTTTGATGTCTTCCTGCTGTTAAGGCAGAAATTCTATTTGCTACCTTCCTGCTTTATTTTATGATTTCCTATGGTCATGACCTGCCAGCCTCTGCAGCATTTCTGCCTCGTGCATTGTCCTGCCTTGGTGTGTGAAACTGGAAAGAAAAACAGGCTGTGTAGCAGTTTCAGTTCCATCACAGAGTGGGAAAAAAGACTACCCTCACCTTGTGTTCCAGCTACAGGAGTTGATGAGAACATCACTGGTTGCTAGGAGAAGGTCTCTGAAGGAGGGTGGTAGTTCATGGCTTATTTGGATTTTTTAGATGCCCAACTGATGCACAATGGGAAGAGATGAGGGTATCTGCCTAGCATTTAATTCTGCAGAGCTGCTCTGGTAAGCCTTGATGCAGGCATAGAAAGTAATGAACAGAAACATCAGGCTGCACATTCTTACCTGCTGCCTGGGGGAAAAGATGGCTTTCCACCTCTTATCAGTAAAACTGCTCCAACAGGGCCTTAAGCTGTGAACAGCAGCGGCATCCAGGAAGACCCGTTCTTCATTCCAGCTGTTGAGCAGTTCCAGCTGCTCAGCTCTAACACCTGATTTTCCCCTTCAGCTGGACAGGGCAGAGAGCATTGTGGCTGGAGGGGAGGTCTGTAAATTGGCCAGGTCTCACAGGGCAAAGTAGCTGAGAGGAAAACGTGTAATGAACTAATAGTTTCATAAAACCAGGCAAGATGCAATCACAGCCTTTATGTATTAAACAGGATGACTCCAGCTGTTCAGGATTACAGCCTGAAGGATTGTGCTGTCAAGTCTAAGAATTTCAAGCCAAGTTTTTCAGCTCTCAAAAATTTTGTAATGTTTTCACTACATCTGCAGCAATTTACATGTGAAAAAATATGTTCGAGACTGCATGAAAGTCTGTTTCTGTAGAAAGACAGGAGCTAACTAGCAGAGAAGGGAGGCTTCTTAGCAGGAAAAATTTAAGCTGCCTCACTGTCTTTATTTTATTGAAGATAATTTACTCCCCCAAAATAATAATTAGTTGCTTTACAGTTGTACATGTGCTTGTGTGGTTTGCAGAACTCTGTGTGTGTAGCAGGACAAGTTTTAATGAAAGAATATGAGCTTTTTGTTGGCACATACTTAACTGGAGGCAAAGCAGAGTCACTACCTGCCTGTGGCAGATGTAAGGAACACTTGCTGATGGAAAAGCTGTTATTTCTCATCATCAACTGCCCATTTTCTCTCTCTTAGTCAGAGGGAGGCAAGTTTTATGGCCTTCCTGTAACTAGTCTGTTCCAGAGCATTTCTCCCTCAAGGTTAATATAATTATCAGACATTCTCTGTTGAGTTTCAGTAATTCATGTCTACCACCTGGACTCTTTTAAGAAAATGGATGTATCTTGGAGAGGACTGCTATGTTGTCTATGTAGAAATGCAGTAGGTACTGTGACTCTGTGTAATTCAGAACATGGACAGCTAATGTAGGCTGCTGTAGCTGACCCCTAAATTTAGTGGTAGAAAAATGTCACTGGCATCTCAAAGCTGTAGAATGTAACAAAAATGTTTTAAAGTGTGTCTGTGGGGGAAGCATCCCAGCTTCAGAAGTGTCCTATTAGGGAAGATGAGATAGCTGGCTGGTGATAAAGGTCTGCCTTCACCAAGATAGGCCCTTTTTTGCAGAACTTGGTGCAGGTCAGTGCACCTGTGTATGACTTCCTGATTCATTGTGGAAATTGCGACAAGGATCCCATTGCCATCTTTATTTATATGTAAGACAATGTGAAGGAACAGCTCAAGGGGACAAACTGCACTGCCTGCATAATTGCCTCTTGGCCAGTCACAAAATGGAATTGACACCCTTCTAGCAAAGTCCCAATTTTGTTTGTTTGTTTGTTTGTTTTGGTATGGAGTCAGTAGCATGCCCTTGTTGAGTATAATTTACCCTGTCTAAAAATAACCTGTTCACAGTTTCACAAGAATGTCAGCACCCCAGCTTCACAGCTGGGTAACAGTGAGAGGGGGGAGTGGTTTGGTGTTGGTTTTTTGTTTTGTTTTGGGTTTGTTTGTTTTAAAAATTTATTTTATAAAAATCTATTCTATTTTACAGGGGGTACTTTTTTCCAAGGAAAAGTCTAATTTTTAAAATCACATCCTAGTGATCAGAAATTCCTATGTAAAAATATTCCCTTCTCTTTATTAACACCATAACTCTGTCTTGTGATTAGGAAACATGACAGGGAGGACAGCAAGTGCTGTGCCTTCTGTGTTTCTTTCAAGTCACAAAACCATGATTCTTGTTCTTTGACCTTAGCAAAGGTTCTGAGTCTTGCACCAGACCTTTGTGCCCAGATAGATTTAAAGATGTTCTTCAGATTCTTCCTCACATGACATGTTGGGGTTTGTCCAATCTTGTACCCCACACCAATGTCAATAACAGACTTTACAGAAAATACCATTAAATGATGGCGAGGAAGGACTCTGACCTGATCTCCAAGGGTGTTGCTCTGTACTGGATATCCATATAGGGAAACAGTATCAGGATGAAAACAGAGGTTAAAAGATTATTTCAGAACTATATATTTGTACTCAGCGTAATTGAGGAGTTAAGACAACTCCTCAGACATCCAGTCTCGTGCCCCAAAGTAAATGTAGTTTTCTAAGATTTGAGCATATTTTCTCAAGATACAAATAGAGGAGGCTCAAGCTTCCAAGGAGTCTCTGCCCTTAAATTCAACAGTAATGAAATGGCAGTTAGAAACTAAGAGAAAGTTTTAAAGGAAAGAACTAAGTGGGACAACTTAAATCTATTACAGTTATTAGCTGTATTTATAAAGCTTCTTTTTTTTTTTTTTTCCCCTCTCTCCATTGGTTTTAAGAATTGAAGAAACAAGTGCAGACCTGAAGAAACAAGTGCTCAGGTTAGAAGAAGAACTGGACCAAGAACGAAAGAAATACACGATGCTGGAGATCAAGCTGAGGAATTCTGAACGTGCTCGTGAAGATGCTGAGAAGAGAAATTACCTCCTGCAGAAGGAAATGGAAGAGTTTTTTTCAACCTTAGGATGTTTAACTGTTGGGAGTCAAAGTGCTAAAGTCCCCAAGTAGAACATGCATAGAAATTTCTATTTCTGGCAAAATGAGTGAAAATGCACATTTTGTTCTGGTATACTCATGTATCATGAGTAATTCTACAGTGATTGTGCTATTGGTGACACTTGCTCTGTTGTCTTTACATGTGCTATAGTATTTGGGCCAGCTGGGAAACAGTGACCATAATGCTTGAAAGTTTAGATGTCAGATGGCCAGGAAAGAGGCCCCCTTTGTATCCACAGAACAAAAGATACTCTTCTCCAGAATTCTCCTGCCATCTTTGGACTCAAATGCACCATCCTTTTGCTGGCTCAAGGACAGTGGAAAGTCCTGCAGGGTGGGTGGATGGCTAGAACTGATGGACAGGATGGACATGAGGGCCTCCTGCACTTGTGCTTGGGGAGAGGGCAGTTCCAGTCTGGCACCACAGCCAGTGGGGTTGTTTACCAGATGGATCTAATGAGGTGGTTTTCTCCCCACTCCATCCATAAAGTTTCTCCCCACTCCATACATTCCTAAAATGGCATTATTTTATGAAGATACTGTGAAAACAAAATCTACAAAAAAGCTGAAGATACCAAAATCTTGACAATTCACTAAAATGGTCCCTTACCCACCAAACAGTTTCAGTTTTTCATAAAAATGCAACTCATTAAACTGTATGTGATAAATAATCAGATTGGCTACACAAACTCTATGAAACTTTAAATATGCATATTTTGCCCTAGGTATCTGGGGGATTTTTGAGCCAAAAATAGACCAGTATTAGCTGCAAGAAAAAAAAAATCATGAGTGAATTGATGTATGTCATCAAGGTAGAATATGGAATATCAGTCATCAAGGTAGAATATGGAAGATTCTTATCATCAAAAGACATCCAACTGATACAGCTGCTGAGGGGTTTTAATCCATAAAACTCTTAATAGCAAAACCTATGGTAAGAGAAATTAGTGCAGTTGAGGGAGGGGGGGTGTTGGGGTGGTAAAGGAGGAAAGGTGTGGACTTATCTTTAACCTTCCCTGGACAATTGACCCTTGGCTGCCTTATATCACTTCTCATTAATTACACCTAGTACATTTTTCTGTTGGTTGTTCCCACAAGGAGATGAGGGGACAGGAGGAATACTGCAAACAACCTGTCAGCCCAAGTTCAATACTTCTACTAAGGAAAAATCATTAGAATGAAGCTGTAATTTCTGGTAAAAACCTGCCAGGGCCTGTCCAAGGAATTTTGAGAAGCTCTGCATAGCATTTTTAGCACCCTGAGCCATGTGGAGCCTGCACACAGAAAACTGTTTCACCAATTGAGCTTGAACTCTCACCTGCCAGTCCAGTACTCACCGCACTGTTCACGCTTTCTTGGCACTTTATCGTTGACAGCTAAGGCAGCTTGGGAGTCTCTAAGGAGAAAGTTTTTTAACAGAGAAGTGTCATGACAACATGAACTGGCTAAAGGGAAAGTACAGAAGGAGCAATGAAGAGCTTTAAGTATTTTCAAAAAACGCCCTGAATCTCATTTCTTACTAGAGGACTGTAACTCACTGTCTGGAAATAACCTTAGAATAGGCTTATCTACATACCAGCAGATAGTCACTACTGACAAGTGTACTTTCTCATCATCATCTCACAGACATTCAGGCATTTCAGTATTTAAACATCTGGATGTTTACTTGTTTCTGCTGCACTGTAACTCTTCTTCCTATAAAAATGTAAACCATTGAAAGGGAGCAAAACCCAGCATTTTAACCTAATCTCTTCTGGATAAGACAAGTCAAGTAAGGTGGTACAGAAAGCTATGTGGATAGGTAATTCAGTTATTTCAAAGCTTTTTTCCTTCTTCCCAGGCTTTCCAGCAGCACTGGATTCCTTCCTGCCCCTGGCATGAGGCAGCAGGTACCTGTGTGTTCAGCAGCACCCGCCTGCCACCTGCAGGCTGGAGCATCACCCCCACCTTTCTTCTCCATCTCAGCCTTAGGTTACTACCAATGGTCACAAGTGATCTTGCAAGGAATAGGATGGCAGCAGCATTAAGATGCATAATGTGATAGAGAAGCAGTTGTTGTAACAATGACTCTGAGCTGGAAGAGCACAGTGTGTCACGGAACTGAGGTATCAGGCCAGTTATCACAAAATAAACCTAAATACTGGAGAGTGGCTTGAACCAGGGTGTAAGCAGAACATCAGGACTGATAAAAAGAAAGTTTCTGCTGATACATTCAATGCAACTAGTAGTAGCAACCAGGGTATTTTAATGCCCTCTTTTTATTCCTATCCCCAAAGTGGAAACCTTTCACTGTATTCATCCTGACGGCTCACACATTCCTTAGACTATGTATATTGCATTATCTCCTACATCTATCACATGCAGACTTCTCCCTTTAGTTTGGGAACACGACAAACTTGAGAACTGAGCCATGCTGACTGGAAGACTAAACACCAAATATGCAAGACAAGCAGTGAACAGGACTGCTGGCCAACTGTGTAAGTATTTAACCTTAGGGAACTGCTACATTCAGCAGAACTCGAGAACAAACCTACCTATCCCAAACCTTCGGCTCCAGGACAGGATAATCTGTCAGATCTGTAGCAGTAAAATTAATCTTAATCTGGCATTCAGGATAAAATTAATTTTTCTTTCCAGTGTCACAAAAAACTTTATACACTCAAACTGATTAGTGAGACTAAACAGTCCCAGGTTGACTGCTGTGCTCCAACACCATCTATGCCTCTTGTTCATGAGGAATAAATTCCAGCTCCTTCTGAAGATGAGATGCTGCAGTAAATAAAGCCTGCAAGAAGCTGCAAACTACCCCGTTCACGCTACAATTCACGATGGTAGATGTTAACTCTTAAGTGCAGCAACAGGACCATAATGTTCATTTCCATACACGGGCAATTATGCGAGAAATGGGAATCCACCTGTGCTGCTGTACACAACCTTATGGAACACTAAGCCCTTATCTGAGGAAGATGATACACTCTTTCCTAGTTTTATCTGCTGTTTCCATACTCTTTTCCCAACACTTCATTTTCCCATATCAAGCATCCTTATTTTGCAGACATTTCACTCATTACAGCCCCCTGATTTAAATGTCAGTTTTCTTAGCAAGATACAGGTTGCTTAGTATTATTTAACATGACAAAAAGTTCCTGGAATCAGGTAGATACATTTTTACCATAGCTTCACCTGCCCAATGTTCCCTTCCCGTATTATGGAACATCCCTTCCAGTATTTTGCAGGCAAAAAAAGCATAAAAACTTTTCAGTGAAAAAACCCAACACAAGCATATGCTTTAAAAAAAAAAAAATCAAAACAGCAACTCTTCAGAATAATAGAAAATTCCTTCAGAAAGTATCCATGTAATTTCTGACACAAAAAGGAAAATGAACAGAGGTAGCTCATTGAATCATCTACATTCACCAGCGCATTCCACTGAAGCCATTAGCACTAAGGAGTGTTTCAGTCCTGGGCAGAGCTATGATTGTCTCTCCAGCCTTGCTCTGTTAGTAGCATATCATTTGAAATCGGCTGTACTTTATGCTGACATGCAAATAAACAAGAGCATTTGTGAGTCCCATCACATTCCTAGAAGAACATCTCACAAACAGCTGGCCCAGAGAAACAAAGCTGGCTACACAGTACTGCAGTGGTCACATCCCTTTCCCGTGAAACTGTACAGGGACACTGAAAGCACAGCTCCAGGGCATCTGCTGCCTTTGTTCAAGGAAACACCCACACCCTGCTGGAAGTGAAGGCAATCAAATGCATTACATTAGGATTTACTCACAGCAGAGGGGTCAGTGCAGGCAGAGTGGTCTGGGCACACAAGTCAGCTCTCCAGAAGTCAGAGCCTTCAGGCTCTCTGAGACTCAGTTTTGGGAGATTGTCCCATACACTAGACAATCCCTGGCTTACCTCTTTCTGCAGCGTAGGGTCTTGGCAGCTGCATTTCCAGGAAATAAAGCAGTTAGAGCTGACAGCAAGAAGGCAAGAATGCATTCCCAGTGGTCACAACGACACATGGCTATTGACAGTCTATGGCACATCCAAAGTCAGTGGGAATGGAGAAATGGAAAAAACATGTCACTTTGCCCATGAGTGAGCTCACACACAAGACAGGACTTGAAGTACCATTAAAACCAGATGAATTCTCAATAAGTACTGACAATAATAAGATTTCAAGTGCAGCCTTCTTATGCAATCCATATGAAACTGTTCCACCCTAGCAATGAAGAAACACTAAATGCATAGTGGTCAAACTTTTTTTTTCTTTTTTATTTAAAATATCATTATAACCAATTGACATACTAGATAACAATGTATACATTCCAGTGGTGCACATGTAATGACCTATGGCATGAATGAGTAAAAAAACCCACAATGTTCTCAGTAATGCCCCACCAACAGCTTATCTGGAGGGAATAAAGGAAAAGAAAAAGCAGGAAAAGGTATCAAATGTGGGGAAGAAAAAAAAAAATTACAGTTTTCCCCAGTATTTTTAATGGTGAATCTTCTACTTCGTATTTCTTGGGACATAATAAAATTAAGAATATACTTCAAAAGGGGCAGAAGGAATGATCACAATAATTGGGGTGGGATTTTTTTTTCTCAACTTTAGTAATAAAAGTTAAAGAACTCTCAAAAATAGACTAGATATTGGGCCTACAAAAGTAATTCATCTGTATGCAAAGCTTACCAAGAATTATTCCTTTTGTAAAATGTAAAGGATGAGCTGACATTACTAGTAAGCTACTTTTACCCTACAAAACCAGACTACAATAATAAAATCACCAATTTACAGCTAACACAATATTCTAGATGTACATTACTGTACACAAGCTATATATTACACATGGACATCTTACGTGAAATATATAAGAAACATACTTACTGATATTGTCTCAACATTGGCCAATAGGTTTGTTTTTCTAAAGGAGGTGTATTTTTCTATTCACATTCAGTGTAGTTCCAATAGCAAGGGTTAGCTTTGCTTACTTAAGAAACGTAGAAAGTTTGTGTGAGGTAGTTCAAGCAAACCTAGCTTAAATTTTCAACTGCAGAAGTAGAAACACAATGTGACCTGATTCATAACACATTTCTGTAATGCAGACATATCTAAAGAAGAGGAGAAAGGAGTGAAAGAGACCACTTAAAATACCACTTTTATCCAGTGCCCTTAACTAAGAATAAATTAAATTAATTGAAAATTTGGGTAGGCAGTACAGTCTCATCACATTTCTTCATTAGAACTCTTTCTAATCCTACTGAAAAATGCAGACAGGCTCTCCTTCAACTCCAGTCCTCAACCTAAATATGTAAGAACCAAACCTCTGATAGGAAAATAAAATATAACACCATGGAGAAGCTGCTGCCAACAGCAAACAAAACCATTTCTAGAAACCGCAATTCACTCCCTTTAGCAACCTGAAAGAGTAAGACCAAGTGTAAGCTGAACCTTCTTCTCCCTTTTCCCCCATAATCTTAATGGAGAAACATCATCATACACTTTGGATTATTGGCTGGGTAGAACACCCTCCTGTAGGAGCTTTATGACCATTTTCCTTCATGCACTGTTGAGCTGAATGCCACATCCCTCCCTCCCTCCCTCCCTCTCTGCAGGGCCCCCGCCCAGGTGCTCAGCGTTGGCTCCACTAACCATTCCAAGGGGATTGCACGGACCGGCCCCGTGGGACCCTTGGACAGCGGGGAGTGCTACTGCTGTGACCTGGCGCCTCCTCTGCGCCCACCCTGTGGTGGGGACATGGGGACTACACACAGATACCCCCCCACAGGTACCCACACACCGCCCTTACCAAACAATTCATGATACTCTGTATCTAGCTGGAATTCCTATCCAAAACATACCACTGCATCCAGCACAGCAAGGCTCTTCAAAGCTAAAAGCCCGAGCCGTGCAGCTCACGCAGGGCCAAGTGCTGTGTCTGTTCAGCAGAGCAGAATGAACCAGGACTGCCCCGGACAGTCAGGATGGGCTGAGGGTTCTGCTCTTGCCAGCCCAGCTGCTCACACACACTTACACACAGTGAAACATCAGTTCTGACCCCATTGTCTTGCATCAACAAAAGGTCTTACAACACAGCAGTGCAGCACACCGTCATGGTACTAATTCCAGCCCCCCCCCATACACAGTCATATTTCAAATTCCCAAAGAACCTACTTTTACAAGAGAGAGTTGTTTTATCTTTGATGCATGCGACAGCTCTGACCAAAGAAGGTGGAAATCAATCTCACTATTGCCCAACTTTTAACCTCACCTGACATAAGAGATCAGACAGTTCATTGTAATTCAATCCCTACCAAATTTCCGATGGCTTAGAACAGCCCCAGAAAGTTGCATGCACTCTAGTGAAGCCTATTGTCATAAGATTTTGAATCAGTCTAAAATAAAGCTTAACAATACTTTAGGAATAAAATTGTACAGTGTACTGGACAACATATAATCTAACTAACAACAGAAAGACAGCTCAACTCCAGTTACCTATTTGTTCGCTATCTGTGAGGGTGTACAACTATCGCTTAAATAATTTTATATTTCAACAAATAAAAAAGAAAGTTAAGACTAGAATGTTGTTGTGATAATTTGGTGACTGAATCTGACTTCTTATCTTTGAAATTTGCCATTACTTTAATTTGCCTAAAATACAAGCAATTAAAAAAAAAACAAAAACCAGCAACACTACTCTGAAGATAGTGCCAGAAGTGAACTCTAGGTCTCCACAGGCAAAGTTCTGACCTTACCAAAACAATCCCTTTAAACACTGCTCACTCACACTGCAACAGGCTGCAGTGGACAGTCCCCTGTTCATTAAACCTGCTGTGAAAGAAGAAAAGCTCGATTCTCCTGAGAGCTTATGAACTCATTTCAGTGATTATTTTATTTAGGACACTGGAAAGTGATACCAAAATGTATTCTTAAGTTTCAAAATATTTCAATTAATCATCACTGCAATCCAGAGGGGTCTAAAATAAATTTGAATAGGAATTATATTTACCAAATTCTGTTTTTAACAGTACTTAGAGGCATCAGAAGTTGCTTTTGTCAGTCTGAACTTCATTACACTGTGTTGACCACACTATCATTTGACCCTATATAACAATGGAGTACTGTCGTACAACAAAAAATTTTGGCTTAATTCACAGCTTAAACTTCGATAAAAAAATCACAAAATAGACTGTTCAGTTGGTCTCTGTTCAACTTGAGCAGATTTTCTACATTGCAGTGCTAGATGAATCCAAACATGTCCTGCCTATTCCGAGGTAATACACAATTTGGCAGGATCCTGCAAAAATAATTGCCTTAACGAATGTGGTTTAGGAAGGCAATACTGAAATATTAGATACAAGTGAGGAAAGCAAAATTACACACACAAAGCACTTACCAGCAGTCTAGCCAGGTCAGGAAAACAATTGTGCAGTTTATCAATTTAGTCATCTTTGAGACATTACAATTTCTTGTAAACCCTGCATGTTTTTTAAAAAGACATGTTAGATATCAAAAGCATTACTATCACTTCTATTGTTCTGAAACTTACTGTAAAGACAAATTTTCCTCTTTCAGTTAGAACTTCAAAAAGATACTTATTTAACCCAACAAGCAGAAGGAACCACACTGAAGACCAGTCATTCCTAGACGACATCTGTAGCCAGTTACATTACTTGCTTATGCTCAGCGCCCGGCAAGACTTCTGTATTTATGCCCATTTTTGTGAGCATTACTAATTTAAATTGCTCTTCACATTCTAATTCACTACACAAAATATGCATCTACACGAGGCAATCAATTATACAACCTAGTTTCACTAAAAATCTGCATTTTCCAAAGGAATAAATTCTGAATGATTGTTTAACTCAAACTTAAGTCAGTTACACATAAATCATTCTGTAAATATAAAATGTAAACAGTTAAAATACTTCTGTGATGAGCAGCACCATCTTACATGACTATTTAGTAAGTGTTCTATATATCTCAATATATCTTTTGTTTAAAAAGTGTATTGAAGCCTGGAGCTTCGGTGATGAAAACCACTGACTATTTATGACTTAAAATGAACCATTGTTAAGATTTCTGCTACACTGATCTCATGGTAAGTGAAAGAGATAAATATTAATTTATACAGCACTATTTCTCCCTCCTTTGGATGGCATATATTGCTCATTAATGCATTAGCTACAGAAATCCTGAGGTTCTCCTACCACTTAATGGTTTTTAGCAATCAGTATTTTTGGTGGAGAAAGAGTAGCTGAAGTTTTGCCCCTATTGCATTCATGTCATTCCCTCTTTGACCCAAAAAACACTCGCCCTAGTAGACAAAACCAGTAAGAACTACAGCTCCTAAGAATCATGTCTTATATGAAAGTATAGCTACAGCATATTCATTTTCCTTTTTGTCAGTCTAGACATCCTGGATACACTTTGTTTTGTGTGTACAAAAACAGGCTCAAGCTAAAAGTAAACAGTTTATTGGCATTGCAATGTATTATTCATGAAGTATCCTTGTGTTTTATGGTGATCACAAGATTTGGCATGCCACAACTCTGCAGAAAACATCACATTACTTTGCTAGGCTGGGTATTTCTGCAGCTTTGAAGATATGCTTGGCTTTCTTATGTTCATAAACCCATTCAGACAATGTTATTTTGCAAAGGATTTTTTTTCTCTAAAAAAACTCACTAATTGTTGCTTTTGCTGAAGTATTACAGGCAAGTGGCCAAAATAAAAGAGGATATTTTTAACTGCCAGCACCCCAGTAGTATGCCCAAAACTACAGCTGGCTGCACTGAATTCTCTCCCCCTCCACCTAGACACAGATATATGACCAAGCATAAAACTCTAAAGGATATCATGAACAAAACATCTGGAATAAATTCTAATTAAAAAATTGAAAACCTATAAAATCTTAAATAATTCATTATATGGTAATGACCACAACATTAATATGTGCTTTGATAAAACAAATCTTACAAATTCAGTAAAAAAAGATCAGCAGCATAATAGTAAAGCAAATATGCAGATTTTAAAACCACAATAAAAATTATCAGGTTTAATATTTTACAGGTAATTACAGCAAAAAAGTGGCTGCTTTTAACACAAATTACAGTTTGAAATTACAGCACTTTATGATGAATTCCATGATTATTTTTGAAAAAACACTCAAAAATACCACCAAATTTTAAAAGTGCCCTATTAATGACTAAAAGGACCCCCCTCCCACCCCCCAAAAGACCAAGTAGTCATCTACAGCAACCCAGAGGTCCAGCTGAGGTTTCTAGACTGCTGTCTGTATCAGAGGCCAATGTTGGATCTGTTGACATTGAAGACACATCATTGACAGATGATGATGAAGATGGATGTTGAGAGCCATTGATCATTGCTGCACCTGTGCTATGAGAAACAAAACAGCAAATCAGTTGCAGATACAGTTGCACAGTTCAGTACTTGCATTAGTCTGTCTGTTCCTAATGGCCATTACTTTTCCCTGTTCTGGCAAGTTTAAAGAGATGTGTCTCAATCCATTGTCAAAATAAATAAAAAACACAAGTCTTTAATGTGGGGTTTAATGAATGGTACGCCAAGAACCATAGAACTCACATGGCACAGACAGCTGCCAAATCACAGTAAGTGCTAATGGCTGAAGATTTAAAAAAATAATCACACAGACAGCAAGGCAGAGCTAAGATACCCTAGAAAATGTTGAGACTCTAAGCCAGAATATATCAACATCTTTCGATAAAGAAAGAAGGGGCCTGGCTTTTTTTTCCCCTCCCCTTGGGGTTGGGGAGTAGGTGGTGCCCAGCCACATCACATCTATTCAATCTCAGATACCCAGGGATTTCTCCAAGTCTGAACTTCAGTGAACCCCAAGCAGAGTGAGCAAGGGCAGTCCAGCTTCTGTCATAGAGCTTTAGCACGAGTCAGTTAATTGGCACATTCTCCAAAAGCCAGCAAAATGAAGTGCAAAGTACTCAACAATTTTTGGACCTAGAGATCCTGATTCATTATTTAAAAGATTATTTAAAAGTAGTGGTTACATCTTATTTGAAACTGTACCAGCTATACATTACACATATAACTAAACTTTAGCAATTGAGCACCAGTACATACCAGGATGTTTCCTAAGGACTGAAATGAATGAAGCACCAATTACACAGGGACAGTAATAGAGGGATTTAACAGATTAATAAAGAGATGTCAACCCCCTATATTCCATTCAAATATACAATATCTCAAGGAGAATTCAAGAGGTTCAGTGATTTAAGAGCCATATCTTTGAGTTACATTACTTTTGGATGTCTTGAACAGCTTTACTCCCTCCTGCCCTACAACTCATAGAGCTTTGTACTGTGCTTTTATTGTAACCAACCTAGAGGGGCTGGTTGGCCGCGTATAACCCCATTCTTGGTTCTCTCCTCCAGGTCCATGACTTCCTTGTATATCAACTCTGAAAATGCAGACAAGGGAAGACAAAAAAATGAATTTGCAACCCCAAGACTGGAACACATCTCCCATTAAGATGTACATTTAAATTTCACAGGTTTATTACTGTTCAGAATCAGTTTTGAATGACAGGTTGTAGGCTACACAGCAATTGGAAAGTGATATAAAAATGTACAGGTCTTTTCTGTTGGAGCTAGACACAGCTGTATGACCTGTGTATGGCCTAGCACTCTTGAGAACACACTGACATTTCTCTAAGGCTCTTTCAGCCAGGCTGCTTTGGGACCTGAGGTTAAACTTGAGTCTTAAGGCTCGCTTAGTTTTTATCATTGGCTTCTTTGGTACAGATACACTCGATCAGTTGTCTGCAAAGGAAGAGCTAAGAACAAGCCTAGACAGCATTGCCATAACCCCAATGCACATTTGCCACTAAATTTCCTCAGCAACAACATGCAAAGGTCCAGATCACCATGAAATGGAATGTAATATTAGCATATACGAATTATAATTTCAAGGGCTATGGAAATCTCAAAAGTAAACTCCATATTGCTTAAAATACCCTCAGCACATCTGCTTCAAAAGGGAAATAACTTTGCTTGGAATGAGTATGGTAGGAGAATTTCCACAGTTCTCTTTATCTCTGCCTTTACAATTAAAACTCATTTTTTAACAGAAAGTAACCTAGAAGAGTGATAGTACTACATTTTACAGATTTGTGCCCATTACTAGCCAACACAATGAAACTGTCAAAAATTATTCATAAAATTTTTTCCCTTCTTCCTTTTCCTCTGGGGATATAAAGGTTATACAGGTCTAATATCCCTTCCTGGACTTTTTCAGTACAAATTATTAGATTGTTCAATGCACTACACTCTTGCTTAAATGCAATTTTTATAGCCTGCACAGCAATCTGGAGTTTTTCCTTAGCATTAGAACCTGCAATAATACCACATGTTTTAGAAGCAATTTCAAAATGAAGCACAAGCTTTACAAGTTACAAAGATGTTCCCCTTATACTTACCATTCTGTACCTCATATGTATGACCAGGAAATACAGTCACTAAACCAATATTGAACACTAAAGATCATGCTCTTGGAGGTGTGAGTCTTATGTCATACTACAATCCATTCCAAAGCTCAAGCCCAGCTACTTTCTCAGGATCCCACAGCTGATAACCATCATCTCCCATACCAGCTTTAACCTCACTATCTTGCCCATTACTAACACTCCTTATGGCTTCTTCTTACAAGTCCTCTGCTTGATTTTAAAAGAGCAGTTACTGTTACTATGCTCTTCATTTGAAGACTAGTCCTTCTAAATCAGACTTACATTGCTCAAACTCCTTCATCTTTTTCAGTTTTAGCTGTTGGTCCAAAAGAGTTACCCTCCCTAAAAATGTTGTCCTATGGTTTGCAAAAGGTGACTGAAATGAACAGGTCTTTAACTCACTACAAAGTTCAGGCCCTCCAAAAGAAAACTTTTAGTGTCCCAATAATCAAGAAGTTGTGAAGCACTGATCTATTTCCTTGCCATTCCAAGCAGGTAAAGTAAATACTATTAGGTTGCTCAGAAGAACTTCAGTGTAATCACTGGGGCCCAGCCTACTCCCAATAGCCTTGTATTACTTTAAATGCCCTTCTTACCTTTCCATTCTTCTATCGTGTGCTCCCTCTCATCTAACTGCTTATCTGGTATCTTTGGTGGAGGCTGAAAAACAAAACTAACTCATCACAGAGCAATCAAAAAGGATACAAAACCAGTATAAATGGAAAATGAAATTAACCACTCAAAACATGAATCTGTTTTTAAAATACCATATTTACATGATCATACATTCACTCAGATTTGGCCTATTTTCTAGATGCTACTGCTTCAAAGTTATTCTGATTAAAAAATTTGCTTACATTACTGTAATAATTAAAATAGAAACTGAGTATGGTAATAGAATAGAAAAATGGTCTGGTAAAAGAGCTCCAAAGTGCAGTCTCCAGCACAAGCAGCCAATTTCAGCTACTTACTGTTAATTACTAAATTTGCCATGTAACTATTACAGATCATCAGAATTCTAAGTGCTCCATTTACAATCAGACATCTTTTTCTATTCTTAGTGGCAATCACCAACCACCTTTCTTCTTTAAAAAATGACACTTTTCTCATAAGCTGATATTGTCCCAAAACTAATTCTTTAAGAAAAAATTTCAACTAATCCCTAAAGCACAAAATTTTGTATTCTAATTTTGCTGGAACATTAATTTCCTGTTTAAGAGGACTATCAATTACTACAACCAATGAAAATTTTTCTCCTGCCCAGGAATAAACACCTCAAAACCCCATGAAGGGCAATCAAACCACACCAAAACAAGTGAAGCTCAATAAATTAGAACCCCATATATAAAAGATTTTAGATGCATTACTGCATGTTCAGAAGATTATATGCAATTGCACAAACACACAGAGACCAGTACTTTAGTTTAAGCTTATTACTAATGCTGTTTCTAATAAACACATGTATAAATGTCAGTAAAAATAATTATGGTTCAGTTATCTTCTAGTGAAATGTGCAACAATCTTCTTTCAAGCAGCTGTATCAAGCATCACAACAAGATGGATTTAGAACAGTACCTTCCTAAGTAGAGACCTAAAACAAGGACTTACAGCTTCTGCTTCTGATGGATCATACCAAACATTGATGTATGGGTGCTGCAGGGCTTCATCCACAGAGATTCTTTTAGAAGCATCTATAACCAGCATTTTTGATAACAAATCCCTTGCTTGACTTGCTGTAAAAACAAAATTTCCTCCTCAGACTAGTGCCATATATAGAGGACATAACACAGTATTTCAAACCTCATAAAGAAGAGATCCAGAGTAAACAAATTCCAGTTAAATATTGATGCAACCCTCACATAATTTGAGGTTTACGAGAATGGCCCATTTGATGGGAAAAAAAAATTGAAGAATTACATAGATGGGAAAGGAGTTGGACATGTTTCACTATACATTTTCAGCATACAGTGTCCCCTGGTGTGACATCCTTACATGGAAGAGCTCAGCTGGCAGTGCAGCTTTGTCTGGAATAGCAGCAGGCAAGCACCTACTACCCCCCTCTGTCATGTACTGCTCGTCACAGAAAATACAGTGAGTCTGATTCCACTGGCACGTGACTTAAAACCAGTAAGTTTCTGAAATAACTACAGGGTATCTATATATTATGAATATAAACTCCTTATATTCATCCCTGGAGAGCAAAGATCTACTCTGCCTACACAACTTCTATTCCAAGATTCCCCCACTTTTCTCTAAATCATCTGCCATTTCTCTAAATGGCATCTGTCATTGAGAAGAATAAAGGTATTTACTTGTTTTTATAAAGACAGGTCTAAGAATAGGAGTTTCATGAAAATAGTGGAGGCAAGCATATGCCAACACATTCATCCACTCTCATGATATAAATCTTACAATATTTAAATCTTTAGTGGGATGATTTTATTGTGAACAAAATCAAGACATTTCTGTTCAGTTTTAAAACTTTTAAAACATACAACACACAGAAGATAGACCTTACCTTTAAGTTTATTGTGTTCAGAGTCAGCTGGGAAAAGGACATCTGGAAAGAGCTTTTCAAAACTATATCCAGCATATTTAGGTCTGTTCTCCACATAAGTTCGGACTGTAGGCTGCAATTTCTTCATAAATTCGGGGCATGGTGTTCCTAATTGCTCTATAACTTTATTCCATTGATCAATATCTAAGGTTATGCAGCTAAGAAAAACACTGAGTCTAATTTTCAGCTACAAAGTTATATTAAAACCACATGAAATAACCAACAGAGAAAACACAGAAAATTATAATAAAATATCAAGTTTATCATCACAAATTAGGACTACCCTCTTAGAAAAAACAGTGAAACAAAGCAAGACTATGATAGCATAGTCAAGGCTATGTGAATTTTACTCAAATAAGAATTAACTAGAAAAGGATATACTTCTGAGAAATAGAATATTAGAAGACTCACAAAATGTATTAAACAAATTTAAATAAGGTCTTGTTTGGGTTCTGGAGAAGAACTCTCACTTCCTGGTCTGAACACACATGCACAGTACTGGAGCTGCTACACATCACCAAGGCACTCGTGAGAATTACCCCATGTAGGTGCTTTGTCCTCTCTTCCCATCTTGATACCTCACCAATTCTGGGCAACCTCTCACCCAGGATGTGTAACACTGAGCACCAGTGGGCACACAGAGGATGAAGTCTGGGCCCACACAAGTCAACGACAATATTGTCAACAACTTGAATGAAGAATTTAAAGAGTTTCAAGGATCTATAAGGAACATCTTAACTGAAGTCTGCACACTGCAAAGGGAGACTGACCAGTTCATGGCAGAAGAATTTAATACATGTTACTGAACAAGAAAAAGTAACATTTGTCCTAGTTTCAGATGGTTAAGATACTGGGAGAAAGCTCATAAAATTTTATGTAGCCTTATCTCATTCATATATTCTCCCCAACTTTTCAGCTGCCATCAAAGACTGGATACCAGGCCACCTGAATCTTCCATGGGTTGTAGCAGGCCTTCTCTTCTGTTCTTAAAACTTAACAACAGATCTTTATATAAGGATTTTCAAGCTCTACAGAGTTTTAATACAGGCCTTGACAAAAAAAGTATTTACACTATATGGCATTGAGTGTAAATTGAAGAGCCATGCTAGCAAACCAGATGCATAAAGCAAAGCGTGGTGCAGCTCATGCAATGACAGAGCTGTGTGAAAGTAAAGATGCCCTTGATCTCCTCACTGTGTCTCAAAATCTTGACCCCATCTTCACCCCTAAATGGTATTTACCAATTTTTAAACAGTAACCTGCAACAAAACCAGGACATTTCTGATGGTTTGAAAAAACCCTGGCCCGTAAGCACTACTAAAACAAATGAGATGCCAAACACCAATTATTTCCATTAATTTTAGGGATGATACAGAGGTTTCAGTTGTGTTTGTTTGGAGTGGACTCTTTCTCTGAAACAGTGGTCACAGGACAACTCATATAAATACCACCAAGCCATTCACAGAATAGAAAGACAGAAATGCCAGGTATTTCTGAAAGCTATTTGCAGGATCCTTTCTGCATATAAAAATATAAAATTCCAGAGTGTAACTAATGAAGATGATTAGGAATTTTTTGTGAACATTTTCTATAAAATGCAAAGAATAATAACTGATAAAACACTCAGATACTAAACAAGATTAGTAAGTTATTACATAAAAATGACCTTCAAAGTAAAAACCAATGCATGTGAACCAGTAAAACACCACCTAAAACAAAATAAAAATAAATTTGTCTTAAATATGACAACATTCAAAAGCAATGATAGGCACTATATTAAACTGGAAAAAGAACAGAGAGAAAAAAAAAAGAAAAAGGAAAAAGAAAAAATAAGTCTGTTTGCCAAAGTGGTATATAAGGAACTCGCACTTTGAAAAGGCAGTTGAAAACCAGTATTTTAAAAATTAGAACCACCTTAATCTGGAACTATATAGCTGCAGTATCTTTTGACCTTTTACAACTACATCCTAGGCCAAAGGTAAGGATACGATCTGTACCAGGAAATAAAACACCACCTTTGATCATTTCTCCCATGATGCACCCAACTGACCAAATGTCAACTGAAAACAAAATGCAATGATATTAACATAAAAGATAGTTATTAAAATAAAAGAAATAAAAATATCCAGACACACACATACACATGAAGTGACTATAAAAAGCATGTGTAATGTAATGAGTGAAGGTGAATGTATGCTAACTACAGGACCAGCAGAGACTATGTCCTACTGCTAGGTGCAGCCTGAATATAAATGAAGTTCTTTTTTTTTTTAATAAGTGTATCACAAGAAAAATCCATGTTCATTTAATAAAAAAAAAAAATTGTACAATATGCATCTTCATGACACAACATCAATAAAAAGGTTAATCACTTCCTAACTAATTCAACCTGCTGCAGCAGCACAAGGATACAGTCCCTTCCTGGAAAGAGGATTTTGTGGCAAACCATTTCGCCCATAATGCACCCCACAGACCATAAATCCACTATGTTTGTAGCACAAAAAGAAGGAAAAGCAAAGCAAACGGTCATTTAAAATTAAAAGAAGCATAACATGACTGCATCCTATAAACTGCAGAGACAGCACAGGAAGAAGAGCAAATCTTTGTATCAATCAATGAAAACACTTTAAAATACACCATGTGTAAGGATTAGCTTTTAACTGTCTCAAATACAAGGCAGAAAAACATCCTTTTGTTTAATATAGTGCTGGAGTGAGAGCTTGAGCGCAGAGAGAGAGATGAATCAAGCAGAGTAAAGCCCTTCTCCAAGCTCTGAGGCTTGCAAAGCTACCTCTGCCAAGAGACCAGATTCAAGTGCCAAAGACAGCTTGATTTCTTGAAAGTAATTCCACTGTAGTTGTATGAATAATTCTGAAAGTAGTAAAGCAAACTGACCTGTAAAAATATTGCCTATTGAAATAATTCAGGCTTTTTAAGAGAATTAATTAGGCATTACATAGAATTCAAATTTGACATCAAGTATTTCCTCTAAGTCAGGTTACAATGCATCTCTCTCTCACTTTAAGTAAAGAGCAAACAGAATCAGTAAAAGATCACTGAGAATTTTAGAGGATCAGTTAATGACAATGTTAGTATGCTCCTAGAAGATTTTCAGTTGAAATCATTTGTTTAAAGATATTTCTCCAGTTATGCTGAAATAACATCTTGTACAAAAGAAAAACTCAAAAGTAGTTTTTTTAAAATGAAATATGCATTTTCTACATTACCTTAAAATAAATCACTCAAAAGACATACTTAAAGATCCACAAGTTTTACTTTGTACAGGTATGCCAATTTCTTTTGCAGTTGCTTTCAGAGGTACTGTTAACTCTGGATGCAAAAGTTTTCTTGAAGTCATAATAACTATATTATTATGAATACTTTTATACAAAACATGACACTGGAATTTCAATTAAGCAGGTAAGAAGGGGATTTAAATGAGAACAATCATATACTAAGAATCACACGTAAATGTTCTTAAGGAGCTCAACAATGTCAAGCAAACAATGTTGCTTCTTACTGAAAAGATTCCTTCTCCCTCATTTACAAGTTCCTCTAAAATAGCATCTCAATCATATGATAGGAGATCTTAGTTGTGCATATTAATAGGTCAAAATTAAGGGCCTGGTTCATTTAAAAATGACATTTTATGATTAGTGCTGTTTTTCCTTTAAAAACCCTTTTCAAATACTTAAGTACATATTATTTGGCTCAGAGACCCAAGGATTTGAAGCCAAGTTTTGCATTTGACTTTTTAATTAAACTTCTGAATGCTGACTTTTTGACCTGCAAATCAACCTTCTGCCAGCCCAACCCAAAATATACCCAAATCTGTTGTAATCAGTTTGTGTCCAACACAATAAAGTTCTCGTCTTTCTGGTCACCCTACAAAACCTAACTTGAGATGTTTTGGGGTGTTTTGATTTGCTGCTTTCATTAAATCAAGACGTCTCTAACTTTTTTTATGAAGCTAAACTAATTTGTACACTGAGGACTGCTCCTGTGAATACCTCTATAGAAGACCATGTAAAACGAGTAAAATCTCATTACAGATTTGAAAATATTTTAAAAAAATCTATTGCTGTCATAAGGAGTCCACTGTACTCTCAATAACCCCGTTTGAAGTGAACTGTTTTCTATAACTCTAGGAGAAAAAATACCATGTGAAAATGAAGTTCAAACCCAATGTACATAATAGGAAACTTAAAAGTATTTGTTTCAGAGGGTTTAGGGCTTTCCTTGCTTTTCAGTGCTTCCTTTCTGATAATCATGCACCTAACTGTGCAAAAATCTAAATATGTTAAGGTACATGTGCATGAACAGTTTTGGTGTCCTTCAGTCCTTGAGTTTCATTTCTTGATTTTGCAAGGATTCGTTTCTTAACGTGATACACCCAAATCTCCTTCAGTAATAAACCCTATGTAGAAGTTAACTTGATATAATCAGTTTGGGATCTCTCTAGTTTTAAAACAAATATTTTGTATGTGTGTAACAAAAGAACAGTACTCTGCAGTATGTATCTCAGTCATCAAAATATAAATTGCAATCCTCCCACATCAGTTCAGCAGGGCACTGAAACTGCCAGATGACCCTGCAACCATTAGTTAATCATAAATTTTCAATATTTAATTCTATATTAAATAAGTTAACAGTTAATTTAACTATTGGCTTAAGGGGCTATAATAGCATCCATACTAACAGGTGAGGCCTCTGGACAGTCCATGGTTCTTAACGTAAGTGCATCCTTGATACCTGTCTCCTTGTCATGGGAGCTCCACAGACTCCTCAGGCAGTGATTGAGAAGAATTACAGCCTATGTAAATAGTCTTTTGATGAGAACAGTACATGTGGAAATGCAGACTGTCTTCAGACTCAGTCCACAGATTTACATTCTCCAGAAGTGCCTGTCTAATTTCAACGGATTTGGCTTTGGGAAGATGTAGTAGTTCTTCAAATGAAAGTAAACTATTATTTATGTTCTGCTGCACTAACAAGTCATTTGTCCTTAGGAAGAGGATTGTCACTACCATGACAGGATGCTCTGGAACACTATTTACATCTATTTAACACCAACAATAACCTAAGTAACCTTCTAGTGGAAAGAACGTTTCACACTTTTGCAACTCAAAATTACTTACTATTTAAGAGAAAAATCTAAATTGGGCAAGCTGAGTTAAAAAACTTGTGACTTTTATTGTATCAATTCCTCCTGTAAGGCAGTTGCATGATTCAGTACTACAGTTTTAGGTACTTTTATCTAGTGGTCCCTTAAATGGCCAATGTAAAGCCTTGGGGGAAAAAAAGGACAAAATTGCAAACCTACAAAACTTTAGGAGTGAAAAAAATAACTTGCTGTACTCAACCTGTGACTTCTAAATCACAGGAAAAATAGCCAAGCATGGAGGCCACTCAAAGAAACATACATCCTCTCATTCACGCTAACCACCCAGACAGAAATAAACCACAGTCCTGCAAAAATGATCTACTCTCATTCCTTTGAGCTGCCTTCTTTCATTGTTAACACCATTCACACACAACCTGAAGTCACTGGTTATGACTATGCAGTTGCAGTTGCCAGGCAGGTTTGCAGACTATATTAGGAATCCTGAAAGCCCCAGTTGTGTCAGTAATGTGAGGAGCCACAGCTCACATCCCCAGGAGACAGCTCACCAAGCCTAAAGCAGCAGGGCATCTCAGCGCCTTGCTGGCTGATCAGCAGAGGGTTTAAAATACCTCCAGTGACCTCTGTGCCTGCCTGAGCTGGAAACCAGAGAGCTGACTGGCCACAGTGGCAGCATATCAATGAAATGGCAGCAGAACTGGGGCTGCTACAACAGAAATGCAGGAATGACATGTCAGTTTGTTTTCCTAACGGGCACTGGCTGTTTCATTGAGAATGCGCAATGTACTTGATTGTGTGGCTCCCTCAAACGAGATAGCCTTTCCTTATTTTCTCATAGAAGATACAGAGAGACAGACTGGCCACAGAGCAAGTATAAAGAGAACTGAAATGTACGCAAGCAGAGTGACAAAGTAAAACTTCCTTGGAATTTGTCACGGACCTCAAGGAATCTACGATGCTTTGTGACAGTACTCTCTGTATTCTTGTCTCAAGTATATTATTGACTTCAGCAACATTAAGAACTGAGTGCAACAGGTTTAAAGAAGGCTGGTTTTAGTAAAAGGAAATGCCACAATAGGTAGTCTCAGCTTGTTTGTTCCTCAGTAGCCTTTATGCTCCCTACATCCTGAAAGACTATACAGGTTATTTAACATTCAATTTAGTATACACATCTACTGATGAATTACAACTTACATCTTCACCAGGAATAAAGTCTGGTGGAGGACTACCAAGATACAACACATATTAAGGAAATATATTTCCAGTTCTTAGGGATGTCACTTGTTATTTATATTTTTAAATAAACAAGGCCCTCAATTTCTTCTCCTATTAAATGCAAACATTTTCTAATGGGTTGAGTTGAATAAACAAATTGGTGTATCCAGAATCTGCATTTTGATCAAAAGACTAATTTATAAAATTTCTACAGCTTGAAAAAAACATTAACATGTAAAATGTGGTGTGCCAAAAACAAAAAAAAAAAAAAAAAAGCTATGCCAAAGAAAGACTATATTTGCTGACCGTTTTCTTTGTATCCCATCCCTAGGATGACCTCTGGTGCTCTGTAGTAACGAGTCACTACATAAGGCGTCATCATAAAACTAGTTCCTGCAGTTCTGGCCAGTCCAAAGTCAAGAATCTTCAAAGTGCAGTCTGACTTTACTACTATATTACTGGGCTTTAAATCCTTTAAAAAGAAACATCATATATGACTGCTAAGACAAGCACAAAGTACTCTCTGGTTCACATTTTAAAAAGATAATACTGCTAACATTATACCCCACACATACAACTAGGTTATTGCTATAACTGCAGGCTTTTTCCCCTTGCATTAATTCATGTGCATTCAGCAGGCTACAGAATTAATTCCTTTATTGTGCTTGTAGATTTATATAGCAATTAAAGAAGGAAAATACAATCAGCATTACAAGATACATTAGCAATGTCTGAAATAAATTGAGGTTAGTAAGAAGTGTTAGCTCTGAGGAAAGGTCTAGAAACTGCTCACTGGAACAATAATTATTACTATGATGCAGAACACAAGTAACATGACAATTGCTGAAATCATTTGATGCAATAATCATACTGATACAAGAATTACTAGAATTACAATATGAATGTAAAAAGTAGAAGGTTTATTTGCTAGTTGAAGTTACATTACCTCTTTTGAATCAATGTTTCTCTGCACAGGAAGGAAATCTCCATGCCCACACATAGTTTTAGTTTCCCATTTAGGATTTGGTTTTATACTAATTTTGGCAACCAAACCCAAAAAGGCACCATTGAAAAACTGCCAAGAATCAACACAATCATTGTATTTCAGTGAAAAATGTAGAGTGAAGCGCTGATAAAGCTTTAGATCATCCTAGTGAAAAACACGGCAACTATTCTTTTCACTTGAAGCCTATTGACAACAGCGGCTTTACAACATCTATTTATACAGACACTACACTGGCATACTCCATCATCATCTCAGGAGGATCTTACAAACATCTGAATGTCACAGAGCACATATTACAAACAGAGCAACTTCCGAATAACTTAGCAATCATAAAATGATTCACAGCACACAGGCCAACACAGATAAGACTTAGATCCTTCCTGCCTACACTCTACTGAGATTAATGAGAGAAAAACCTGAGATATGGCAGAGGACTCCAGCATTTGAGCTGCAGGCATTTGATAAGTAGCAATATCTGTCACTGTTTCACAGAGACTTAAAAGTGGTTATTTGCAAGATTTATGTAGTCTTCATTTGTACTTTCAGCAATATCCTCATAAAGCTAAGAAAACTGCATTTAAGAGAGAGGAAATCACAAAAAAGAGTTTCAGAACAATAGAATTTTAGTGAGCAATTAAAAGTCTTGCATGCATACATATTCATACATGCACTTCAAAAACAAAAGCACAAGTCTCTGAAGACAACTTTGGTTTAAAGCATTCTCAAAAACCACAAATTAACTCAAGTTCTATAAGGCACTCCAACCATTTTAATATATATGTTTTGGATTCTGCTACAGTCTATTATCAGCTTTATTTTTGCACAATTCTATTATTTTCAGGATGTTCATTGCAAAATCCCAGGTGCACGCTTATGGTATTAATATACTCATCCCCTTCAAAGCTGCAAGATTAACACTCAAAATGTTAAAAGATCTTCCCTTTGCAAGAGAAAAATCACTACGAGGACAAAATGCAAAAGCTTACACAATGCTGCCCATCCTTAATTTCTGCACACCATGTAGCTGTCATGAAGCCTAGGATTAAAATGATGAAGGCCAGATTTGACTTAACACTGCATTCAAATTCATGCAGAACTCGTATCTCTTATGTTTTAAATAAACACAAACTCAAACTTCCTTTAAGAGTGATCAAGTTAATTAGGCCGTATAAATATATCCAGAACCTATTGCAGAAGATGTGTCACTGAACCTTAAAAATGTAAAATGTCAGTGCTTAGAAAACAGATTTTTCACATCTGTATCCCTATTACCCAGACAGGGAGAGAGAGACATCTCTGGAGGGTAATTCAGGGCTTCTTTGGGTTTTTTCCTTATTAACAAAAGATTTGTGAAGGGCTTCCATAATTAGGCCCCTTTGTCAAGTACTCAAAATCAGGCAGAATTCAATGTTTCAGAGCCCCCATGCAAGACTAATGAGACACTCTGTGTCCCTCAGCAAGTCAGTGAGGCACAACTCTGAAACGCTGATTATTCTTCCCTTTCAGATTATGAAACAGAAGTGAACGTGTACTTCTACACTGTCTGGAAACTGCATCTCTGCAAAATATTTGGAACACAGTAATGTTCATTTGTACAATCTGTTAAAGTCAGTGTAAAGCTACAGTCAAATCTTTACGGAGATCAAATTTTTACCCATTGATGTGGCAACTAAATATGCCCCCTACTACTTTTCCAAGTGACATTGACTGAAACTCTCTTTGTGTTTGATCTCTGCTTCGTTCCATACCTTCAGTTCACCAGGAAAAACCCACTTATTTCTATGGCAAGTACTCTCCAGTGCTATAAGGCCCATACAGATTGCCGTGATTTCAGTCACGCAGCAAGGTTTGAAAAAGCTATTGAGATGCTGAGATTCCCACAGCTGTGTTAGAATCGTAAGAACCCAGTTAAAAACATGTGAAACTACCAACACCAAAAAAGCTTAAAGCTTTAGAGAACACTAAAGTAGTACACTAGATTTGTAGCCAGAATGCCCCACAGGCAGCCACAGTAGTGCAGGCTATGTTTAAGGAGTTTCAACCAAGTAATTAGCTTTGAACTTCAAGGACAGTGGTGCTGAGAGCCCAGAAGAGGGATATAAAGAGTTACTGCTGCAGCCACATGGTCCAGGGCCCTTTTCAAGCATGCCCTCCTTGACTTCCGAGGTTTCGTTTAACTTGTTCCGCAAAGAAACAGAATTTTGATACTTTATACCTTGAAGTGTAAAGGCACAACGCACACAGCGGGTAATGTTCTGCCTGAACATACTTAATCTTCTAACAAAGTCTGAGAAGAAGCTGTCAGCTGAAAATCTGCCAGGAAGACATGCAAGTGAAAGGTATCTGCACATGTCCTTCAAAAGCATTCATGCATACATATGGTACTATTTACATAGCAATGGTATCCATAGTCTCTTTGGCATCACTTATCCCTGTACAATATAAAGCATTTCAAAGATTTAACCTGTGTTTACAGAGGCAGGAATTCTATCGTCAAAGCAGTCTCTACTGCCCAACAACCACCTGAGCAGTGATTCCTTTTCTGTAAATGTACAAATGTCTGTGACTTCTTCACGATCCATGTCCACTTTACAGGAGTCCAAACCACCCTGAAAGCAAGCACCATTTCAGAAGGTCCCTCATGCCTGCACTAAGATCCACAGAGAGATATTCGTACATTACCTACTCTGGGATGTCCATACAATATGCAAAACATTTTTCCAAATTTAAAAAAGACCGAGGAAAACCCACAGCAATTAACTTGCATACCTAAGTATTGAAGAGACCGGGTAATGTGAAGCTGCATACAAAACAGTTATTTCAAACCCACATGCACTAGGACACAAAGGGCTGCATAATCTCATATGCAGTCATATGCAACATAATACGCCAACAGCGGTAAGTGAAGCAACCTAGTCTTCCCTAGCATTCCCATAATAATGCAAGAAGCCCACTGCCTTATCTCAATGCCCATGCGCAGACCAAGCAGCACCAGGTACAGTGTCTGGCTGTAGGTGATGGTTCTCCCTACTCTTCCTCGCCCATCTCTTCCAAAACAGCAGTTCAGGGAAACTGCCTGCAAGAAGCTTCACCTTCGTTCCTTGAGCTCCTCACTGGAATGAAGCAGTTGATGAGTACTAGAAGTAGTTGAGCAAAAGGAAGCAATGTTTGGCCACTCAAACTGTACTTTCTATTCAAACAATTGCCCCTGTTGCCTTGAGGGAAAAGCAGCAAACTGAACAGAAGTGTCAGCCTGCCAGATCCAGCCTGCAGGCCATTCAACATCCCACTCACAATGTGGTGAACCACTGACCTGGACAAGCATTCTACCAGCAATTCCTGTGGTAATCACAAAATTGCCATTCGTGATTTGCTTTGCTGTGTACATCATCCATGAGGAAGATAATATGGCAGTGATTGAAACTAACCCACATAACTAAGTTTAATGAAATCTTCTGCATCCTTTCAGAAAGGAAAACTTCTCAAGCTCTCTAAAAAAGTAACAATAAAAATGTAGAAATACAAGCTTACCATTTCCCAAACTAACAATTTCAAACTATTTAAAAAATTGTAATCAGACAATCTCAAGCAATCTTTACACTACACAGAATTACAGATGAGATGTTTAATTTGAGCAGGCAATTTTAAATTCAAAATTTCTTAACTGGATTGCAACATAGATGCTATTTAAAAAGCAGTAGTCAGTTTTGCCTGTGGGCAGTCTGAGTCAATGCTTTGTGACAGACAGGTGTAATGCAAGCTCCACTTACAGGTCTTTATCATCTGTTTATATCATGGTTTCAGGTACTTATTCATTACTCTGCTAGTTCAAGAAGAGAAATAAAATTGGCAGTTCTTTCTAAAGATAAGATTTCAGGTTTGGTTACCAAAACAATAACGGCAGAGATACTTTCAGATATTCCTTCCTGCCATGACTACTAAAATAGAACATTATACAGAGGAGGTAATGTAACTCACTGCAAAAATCTTTTATTTGCTCTGTGCAGATTATCATCAAATCATTCCAACATTCAAAAGGTTCATTCCAGAACCACCCTGCAAAATGGTAAGTGTGATGACTTCCTTTCAGCTTTCTCTCTCTGCCTATGGGACAGGCTATGAATCACCTTTTGTGATCCTATTTCTGATTTTTTTTAAATCTTTTAAATACTCAAAGCAAAACCAGGTGCAATGCAAATTATACACAGTTTTGTTCACTTACCCTATGAATAATTCCAGCTGAATGAAGATGTTTGATACCACAGAGCATTTGATAAAGAAGATAGGACATTCGTTCATGGTCTAGCTCCATCTGAATCACTTGGCAGAGATTTGCATCCATGAGCTCCATCACAATGTAGCTTATGAAGAAAAAAAAATCAGATAATATGGCTATTTTATTGTATTTTTTCTCTTGCTCATCCTTTGGCATGAATATTTTGAAAATAAATTCTCAGATTTAGTTTAAATCAGACTTACACATCTTGAAATTCTTCCAGGGATTTTTGTGGTGTGAACACATTCAGTAGGCCGATTATCTGTCAGAAGAGGTAGAGGAAGTGTAATTACACCACAGAAATAGCAAAGCTGCAGAGTCAACATTTCAAAACTAGTAACTATTACTCTGATATGAACCTCCTGGTATGCACTGAAGCTCAAGATGCTCAGTGGCTCAACCAGGCCTAACGTGCTGTAGCATATACTAATGATTTTAGAAGGAGTATTTTTCCTCCACAAATCACACTCTGTGTACATTAACAAGATGACATTCAAAGCTTAAAACCTAAGGAGGTTAGTCAGTCTCCCCTTCCTCCTACTTTCAGTTTGCAGAGACCAGGTAAGATTTTTATTGCATATGAGGAATAATGAAATTAAAATCTGACAAAGGCTCTCTAAGAGATACCACTTTGCCACTGACAGAGGTGAAGAAAAAACTTAACCCAAAGAGACAAACAGATTCCTAGAGCTGATTTAGGACACTTCCCAATGCTAAGAATGGATGGGATGTGCAGAAACAAGCCAAGATACTACTCATCAAGAGTCAGGCAGGCTTGTAATAGTTTATCACCATACAAATTATGCTATTAGGTGAAACTTCCTTCAGAGAATCCATATAAGCCAACCCTATCTGAGAAAAGTTATAAGGTTTTCCCAAGAAGCTAAAAGACAGAGTAAGTTTTCTATGACTCCCTATCTCCCTAACAGCCATCTTCCTGATGGTGGATTAAGAAGGAAAGGGAGGAGGACTGAACACAGCTTTCTCTGAGGGAAGAAAATGGCCAATAGCAGCCTTTTGTAGTTCAACTCTGATAAATTTATCACTTATTCTCTTCCCATTTCTGTGATCTGGTCTACTGCACAGCTTCATAAGCATAACATAGTTACTGTTGTCACAACACAAGATTCTAAACTCATTCATGCACCAGGAAAAAAACAAAACCTATTACAGCCTTTTTCTTCTTCCTCCTATGTGTCTAGCAGTGGCAATAGAGACAAGGATGCACTTACCAATCATCCTCCTCTTATTTGACAGTTGCATGTAAAATGTAGCAATGTAACACTGACTCCCTTCTTGATTTTGAAGGGGGTATTTAAAGAGTGGGCAGGTATTAAAACTAGTAAATAATAGCTCTTCTGATATATCCTTCTGTAGTTATCATGGAGATACAACCATGTAATGAACATCTCCCCTGAAGTCACTTCCTTTTACAAAGAATAACCTTCTAGTTAAATCTTTAACGTCTGGACAAGGACACTGCACTCACATTTTTGTGATTAACGCACTTCATAAGAACAAGCTCTCTGTAGGCTCTCTTAGCATGGGTTTGGTTCTGAAACGGTCGGCTTAACTTCTTGATTGCAACATTCCTTTCAAGGATGGCATCATAAGCTGCACTGTAATTAAAAATAACATTATTATATCCCTAGTGCCAAGGTCCTTTAAGCTGTGGCAGTTGCAACCTTTTTCAGATACTTTATCATGTCTGCAGAAACCCCAAATTTCCAGTGTTACTCAGCTTTAGGGAGTGTAATACAGCAAAGTGCTCTCGTACGCCGAGTGATTCAAAATTTAAAAATATTTCCCAGCTTCAGAATATTAACACATGACAACCTCTACAAAATACTGCAGGATTTCTGCTTCCCAAAGATATTGAGTTCTTGCCACTCATTGGTACCCAAGAACATACCGCCTAAACAAGATCCAAAACACTTCAAACATAAAAAGCACATCCATTTTACACAAAATCTTCACACTGAAAAGAAAGGAAAAGAGCGGAAAAGTAGGTTATATAAAGGTCCCATGCTTTCACTCATGTAGTTGCTTAATATTCCGATGACAATGAGAGCATCAATGTCAAGACAAAAAAGTCTTAAGAAAGCTCTAACATCTAGATGTCACTGGCTTTAACTCGGTAAAAAGAAAGAATAACATTTTGATTGCAGACTGATGTCAAGATTGTCATACAATTCAGCGACACAAGCTGTTTAACTGATGAAGACTGTTACTGGGGACAACTCCCTCACATATCATATTTCCATGACAGGAAGGCTCAGTTTGCTTTTCCTGTCAGAGCTAATACAACTGATGACTATCACACAGACTCAGGAAATATTTATCAGTTACTAAAAAAGTCTCAGCAGGGAAAATATTGTTTATTTGTCTCTTATCAAGAAAGGTACTCAAACCTGTATGAAGAACATCTGCCACCAAACAGTAGCATCTATTAAATCCCAAACCCACTACTTTAAAAAGCAGATTTTCTATACAGTATGTAGGCTTCAATGATTCTTATTTTTTTATCATCAAAACCTCTAGTCACTATAGAAGTAAAAGAAAATGGGAACAACATGTACTGGTAAATTTCTCTGGTTTACATTTTCTACTTTATCTGGAATTTCTCCACCTGCCCTCAGTGTAAGGATTATCTTATGAGAGAACATTCAAGAGGTGGACAGGAAAGACCACCAACCTGGGACTCCTGGTTTTACATCCCCAATACATAACAGCAGCCTTGGAGCCTGTTTCAGTATTGGTTCAACTACTTAGTATCTTCCAAATCAAATCAAATCTGTTAGTTTTTTAAAAAAAAACAAAACCAAACCAAAAACCACAAATACATATCAACAACAACTAAAAAAGAAACCCCAACCCAAGTCACAAGAATTGCACCATATCTCCTCCAGACATGGACGAGATTTAACCACATGAGCACTCCAGTCCTCCTCACGGTAAGCAGAGAGGTTTAACTAAAAAGGTTTCAATTACCACTAGCAGCAAATAGAGAAAGGCACAGTAATTACATGGTCAGTTTTTGGATCTTAGCTTTAGGAAGATAAACTTGGAAAACAGGTAGTAACATATGACTGGCAATCAGAAGGACAGTTACAACATCTAAAGCCTTTGCTGGCATTTCTATAGCAACTAAACAAACTCATCAAATGACTGTCTACATCTGCAGTATATTCAGATAAAATTCAGATCAGTTTTTCTGATGCTGCTACTTAGAGACCAAATAATATTAATGCCAGAAGTTACCAGGTCAAAACCAAATCTTTCTAGAGTACTGGCCTTCAAGATTTCATTTGCACTAAGCACACTTTTATTTTTAACCCTGCTAAGACACAAACGTGAACTAAAAACCCACCCAAACTGTAAAACCTCATAACACTGATCAAGTCAAGATCAAGGTAGTAAAGAGGTTATAGGGAAAAATGTTTGAGATTATGCTTTTCCCTTCCTTTCTTCTCCTTGATGTTTCTTCTGTATTTTTATACACCTGGTTAGCATCTTAAGAGTTACAATAAATTGGAAAATCTGCAAGTTCCTGTGCTATCTACATCCTTCTCTTGAACATTCAAAAAAGTTGCAAGAAGCTCAAATCAACATTTCTCTTTGGGGCAATGCCACTGCACAGGAAACAGTGCCTAAAAGCAGCTTGTTGTCACCAACTTAAATCAACTGAACACTTTTCAGTCCACAAATCAGAGTTTTTATTCAAAGAATTATCCTGTCAAGTCATAATTTTCTTAAACTGCATCAGGCATTTACGTATTATGATGACAGCATCACAAATGTTCACTAACCAGGTATTAGGGACTAAACAGATTACAAAAGTAAGTGAAACAGACTTGTAACAAACGATTTCAAGAAGTACAAGCATCTACAAGCAGCAAACATTATAAAGAGTATTTCTCCCTTTTGTTTCACTGCAAGCAGTATGGATCAGGATTAGTGTCTTTATCCAGTTCTTTTCCCCCTCATTAGTTTACAGGACTCAGCACAGCTGGTTGAATTTGCACAAAAGGGCATTGACTCAGAAGTTGGAAAGGACCTGGGTCAAAAATCAACAGCAATAGCCCTTGCTAAGGAAAAATGACCAACAGTTACTGTTGCTGTTTTGCCTACAGAAGGTAGTTCTCCACATTCCTGCTCAGTACCACACAGCACCTGAAGAACTCAAAGAATTCTGTTAAGGAAAACTGAAGGTACACTTAAATTTTAAAGAAACCTTACCATACTATCCCTTGTGCTCCTGATCCTATTGGTTTCAAATTTTGATACCGTTTCAACACAGTGAAAGTAGAGTCTCCAATTTCAACGCTGTAGAAATTGCTGTCACGCTTGCTCCTACTCATGACGGCGACTTAGTTAGTTCACTTCATCCAAATTTTGCTTCTGGCCTATGAAGAGATAAAATTTGAAAAACTAAGATTTTACAACTGTATGTAATCTGACAAAAGGCAAAATTCCTTATAAGACACAAAAGATACTTCCCAAATAAGTCCAACATGCAAATGTAAGTTATTTTTCATGTCTGCAGAAATGAGATGGCATGTGTCCAAAATGTTTTATTTTTAGAAGTGTTCCTAAGATAAGATTCTAGAAGGACAAAAATAATAGAAAGCCTAAAGTGAATGCATAGTAGCAAAAATCTTAGGTGGGAATGACAGAAGATCAAAAGGTAGGAAGCTACACATCATCCAGAGAGCTCGAAGAGTCCTACCACCCCTTCACATATACACGTGCAGCAGGGGGGCAGGGTTTGAGCCAGACACTCTCCAGAGGTCCCATTCTGAATTGTTGCATGAGTCCATAAATAAATATCATTAACATATCCATAAATATCATGAACAAGTCTTCCAGATATGACAATCATCAAAATACTTTTGGTCACAACTGCCAGGAATACCTGCCACTGATGTGGAAACACATACAGTCAGTCCAGGCCAGAGAAGGAAAACTGGCCTTGTCAGAGATCTCACATACAACCTCCTATGAATAAAAGCAATAATTACAGAAACAGAGAACAAGAGTAAGAAAAAAGGATGTATATTCCACCAAAGTCCACTCATATTAAAAAAATGTAGGCTTACTGGAGGGAGCCAAAAAGCCTAATTTCTTAGCAATACATGACACCATCCCAAGCTCTTTCTTCCCTATACTTTTTATCACTATATCTTTGCATTCTGCCACTTTCTCAACACTCTGATCACAGATGTTTTTGCACACAGTTTTGGAATAAAAATGCCCAACGAACATATAATGACAAAAACCCCCATCCTGAATTAGGAAAAAGAAAATTTATTGTGGACAGTATGAAATCACCCAAACAAATGTCTGTAAATCAGAAAACAAAGAATGAAGACAATAATTCAAGCAATCTTACATTTGTTCATCATCAGGTGAGAAAAAAAAAACACAACAGGATCTTGAGTTGATCTTTTAAAAATTAATTAAGATCTAGTGACATTGAACAATGTGGATTAGCTGGAACAGCTCAGTAAATAGAGCTCTGCTGTTTGGTATCAGCATCAAGATAATGAAAGTTTCATACTTCACTTTGGATAATTCCTCTGAAACAAATGCAGGAAGGACTGCTCCTTTCCCTCCAAGGTTTCCAGATGAACGTTGACACCACTCTGTTTAAAGGTCAATATTTTGAACAGCCAAAGCCAAGTGTTCAATTTTATTTTCTTTCAATTTGGTAAACTTCATAGGATCAAAGAGTGAAACAAAGCAAGTATAGTTTAAGAAAAGGATCTTGAGAGACACTACTCTCTTAGAAAGTAATATCTTTATATTAATGAATTTTACCTACATCCACACACATTATTATAACCAAGTAAATTTTATTGACTTGAAGTTTTGTCCTCTGCTACACATGCAAAACTGTAAAGTGTTCTTACCAATATGGACAGAGAAACTCGCATTTATTAACCATTTCATAATTTATAATAGTATTTTAGTACACAGTGGCATATAAAAGAAATCCTTGTTTATTTTTATCAAGGTAAAAAAAACTCTGTGCAATCTTTCTGTAATAAAAAAACTCTGTAATCTTTCTGTAATAAAAAAAACTCTGTGTAATCTTTCTGTAATAAAGCTTTAACTCATCTAGGCAGTCTTCTGCAAAGATATATGAAAAAGGCCCACACTCTAGACTATGACAGTACCTATGGTGAAATTAAAAAACAAATTAGGCTCGTAACAAGATTTGGTATCTAAATTACATCTTTCACTTTAGTCAGGTCTCTTAGAACTTAAAATCAAAAAAACAAACTCAAAACCAAACATAATAGTACCATAAATAGTAAAGAACAAAGAAATAAAATGGCAAAAACATAACATACTACAAAAGCACTATTAGATTATGGTTTAAAAGTCTTTCCCTGATACTGGATTCCTTAAAATGTTGTTAAAAAACATGCCATACCTTGCAGCTGAATAGTGAAGACCCTACAGTGCACTGTATCTTTCTACTGACAGTTGAAAAACTCAGTTTTTTAGTTGCTGATGTATCTATTAAACTCTATACAAGATAAATTACTAGAAAGTTTCAGAGTGCTTCCCCCTTTCGTCACAAAACTTGTTGAGTAACTCTTCCTTACAAGACATGTTCTTAAAATAGCTGGGGGTATTCTGTAAGAGACCTGATCTACCTGGACGCTTCCCCAGACAGCCAGCTCCCCTCCACTACCATGACCCATCACTACCCTTGCAACACTGTGAGGATTTAAGGTTTCTCAGACCCCTATTTGGCAATATTTCAAAGTTATAGAAAATGAGCAAAGAGCAAGACCAGGGAGATGACTTCTGCAGTGCAAAGACTGCTTTTGCAGGAAACATTTAGATGAGGAAGCAAGCAAAAACAAACACCCCTTCTATTACATACAGCAAAACCAAACAACTTCTGCACTGTTTCACTGCTCTCTGAAAAAAAAAAAAAAAGTTTAAAGAACTCCTGAGAAACTTCAAGTCAGGGTATAATGCACCAGTAAAAGCAATCAAGAAACAGCAGAAAAATAAATACTTGATAAAACTGAAAAGGTTTTGTACTTCAATATACATTTGTGTGCAGCAGCTCTAGAGCACCACTCCAAGTCTGAAAACTCTTTATCAAGTTAAACATATGCTAAAGCATGTACAACCAGAATCACAGTAGTTGATTCCTTCACCATTATCCATGAAGTTTGTTCCCATAAGCTTCACATGAGATTGAAAAGTAGGCTTGTAATAATGGTTAAAGCAGAGAAAGAATTCAAAGCACCTCAGACCAATAGATTGGATAGAAAAATGGTATCAGTTAAAACATGACCACAAGAGAATAGTGAATAAATGAGAAAGGAGAGGTATCCCCAAAGTGAGGAGGGAGTATCTCCACTTGCATCTAAATTATTATTCCTTTTTTTTTCTGCAGCCCCATGTGCTGTTCATCAAAAATTATCTGTCTGTACTGTGGCAGCAAGAGGTATAGTCTCTCTCTTCATTTTAAATGCATGCTCTCCTACCATAAAACAGACTTACTCAGCTTCAGAAGAAATGGAGTACATTCTCAGAAAAGCCATTTCTTGCACATTTTCTGTGGGGAGCCATTGTGGCATGTAAATAAATCACTTGGACATAACACACTCAGATCAGCACAAAGAGAGGTCTTAAAAAGTATGTACACGAGCCCCTTGCCTCCAACCCTCCAGTATTTCATGTGGCCATTACGGCTTCCTCAGACCGACCCAGCCCTGACACTCATCTCCTCTGCATCCCTCACCTCAATGTCTTGTAACTTCCACACAGTTTTGTTCATCAACCATGAGAGTGTAAGTCTCTCATTTTATAACCAAGTGTACTTCCACTCAGTGGTTTGCTCCCACTCAGCTCAGAAGTCCTTGCGCTCCCTGTATCTTCATGTCACATGAATGCATCCTCAGAAATGCCTGGTATTGCCAACTCTGTAAACGCAGCTCAGAGAAAAAGGCCAAAGACTTAATTTTTTTCTATCTATTAATTTACTGATGACTAGTCTCATGAAGACTAGCTTCAAAGATCCACAACACCAAAAATCTGAGTCTTTAAATATTAAAGCAAGTCTAAATTCAGAAATTGTCAGACTTTTAAGATTCTTAAATGATGTTTGCCTTCAACGTCTTTCATTAAAACATGATTAAGCTATACCAGATAAAGTTGCCTGCCTGAAATTTGACATTTTGTTCCATTTTCTAGCAATTTTGCAGAAGCACATATGGAAAGACAGGCAGCATGCAGACTCCAGATTTCTATTATTAATGAGGAAACTAATAATACATTTTTCTCATTAACTGTCAAATTGCTGGAATGCTGTCAACTGTCAGCAGGGGAATAATCCCACAGAAAACTTCAATTTCCTCTCCCACATCAACCATTGTGCCTTTCCTTGAAAATACTGTGCCTAAGCAGATTTCAATACATGGCAACCTTTTACTCCCAGCCCACAATTAGTCAAGATAAGGGTATTTCAAAACTGAACCCTAAGATGGTACTGTGTGTTTACCATATTAATTTACTAATTCTTCAGACTGCTGTAAGTACTATTTACCCAAGGAAGCACAATACAAATGCAGGAATTGCAAGTAACACTGTACCCATACCTCAGGAGATCTGCAAGGTTGTGCCTAAGTTTTATTCTAAATTCACTAATTGCAACTAGAATTCAACAGTCCTGCAGGAGACTTCAGACAGTCAACAATTTCCACTCATCACTTCTCTACAGCCTGATACAATTGTAAAAGGACAAACATGGACACACTGAACATGTAGTTTCATGAAAATGCAAGCAGCATATATCTAGGAAAGTTTCATGGCTAACCTTGAGAAGTATGGACATCCATAAAAAAATGTTTCACTGACACATCCTCCTCCTCCTCCACAAGTGAATAATGCTAACAATGATGATTGACCAAAATTCTTCACCCAGCTTTAAAATAAGCATATTTAAAACAATAAAGAACCCATGTATAGCAATGTTCATATCCAAATATGCAAACATTTGCCATGTACCTTAGTATGTCTCAACAAGGCTGTTCTATATAAACTTGCTGACTTCAAGGTATCTGGAAAATAACATCGTGCTGTATTTCAAGACTAAATTTTGCCTCTAACACAGAAAGCATTCAATTTATTAATCAAGATAGAGGACAATGTATGGAGAGTATATGTTAAAATGACTTTCCAGTACAGCTTAAATACACTGGAGAAACAGATGGTTTGGGGACAGAAATGTGGGTGGGAAAGAGAGGAGCTAATTCTTTGCACACATAGTTTTCAGTTTAAAAGCCCTACTGCAGGTGCATTAAAAACCTTTAAAAAGGCCAAGTCTTAGATTAAAAAAACAAAACTCACAATGCAAAATTATATAAACAATAGGAAT